AGTTGTTAGTGAGGGTAAGTGGTACTATTCAATGTTTTGAAAGGGTGAGGATAGGGAAGTTGGTAATGAGGGAAAGTGGTACTATTCAACGTTTTGAAAGGGTGAGGGTAGGGAATGATAAAATGGGCAGTTGTTAAGCAAGTGGGAGGCCTCTGTCTGGGATATATGTACCCGATTTCATTCATCCTGGCCGTTTGAATTTAGTAAATATATTTTATAAATTTGTAGTTTAACTGCACGGATGAATGTCCACAACATCTACCATATTCAGTGTTGGATAACAACACAAATAGTGAAACAGCATCTAGAACAGTTTGTGCTGATAATACCCATCCAGAAGTCATCGCTTTATTATCACGTAACACTGAGTAAGTACTGTATATGTATTTAGTGTTTGTGTCTTCCATATATCGAGGAGGGGTGGATGGCTGAATGGTTAGTGCGTGCTTGTTGTATCATAAGGTCTGGCATTGAGTCAACTGTTGTGGTTTCCATTCCCCGGTTGTACGTGACAAGGAGTAGGGTCGCCTGTCCAACCTCATATATTTTCTCTGGGTCTTTCTGTTTCCTCCCACTGTTAAAGACCCCTACTTGGAAAGGAATTATTGAAATTAAATTGAACCATATGTTAGTCCCGAAGTGACCTAGTTTGTGTTAGCTCCATTTCTCTCTTTCTCCAATATTGATAGAACTGCTCAATCTGACATTTCTATTACAAGATGTTATTTTTCATTTTCATATTTGAACATTTCTAATAGGAATACTGAGCACAGTGGGTAAGACGCTGGAGGTCGCGGTTTCGCTCCTGGTGTTGGCTGAGAAAGTTCATTGAGATTTTCCGACATGGTTTCCCCTTGTCCATGGTTCAGGGCGGAGGGTCTGATAAGGATAGCTGTATAGTTGTTCAGATGGGACAAAAAACTGAGGCTCTGTGTACACATTGGCATTCATGTAAAAGTTCCCTTGGCATTTTGAATGCGATACAAGAGTAAGCCATAACACCGCTGTTTGGGCCAAGTGTCTCTTATAGCATACTGTATGGCGTATGCCTGTCTTCATTAGCCCAGTCAGAGCAGAACAGTTGTCCTCAAAAATAGAATATATACTGAGCGCCATGGAAAACGCATCTCTTAGTTTTTCGTATAACAAAATGATCCTGTAAACAGATCTTATTTATTTTGCTTATTATTGTCAACAATATTCAAATGGGAACACATCAATAACAACACATTTGTACACTTATGGATGTTTAATCTGTAATCAACGGTACAAAGTCAGAGGGGTCAAAACCAAAAGTACGACACAGATGTCAGTAGCGCGTGTGTCCTCCATGGGCTCTTATGCACGCTGTGCAGCAACGGCGCATGGAATTAACCAATGTTTGAAAGAAGGCCTGGGGCAAATTGTTCCATTCTTGGACAAGAGCAGCTTCTAAAGCAGCAATGGTGTGCATCTGTGGCGTCCAATCTCATCCCAGACATGTTCTATCGGTGCCATGTCCGTAGACATGGCTGGCCAGTCCAAGACATTGATGTTGTTAGCAGCCAGGTAGTCCATACTAAAACGGGCGGTATGCGGACGCGCTTTATCCTTTTGGAAGTGCTGAAGTTGTGGGTGCGCTCGAAACATCGGACCAACAATTGAATGCAAGACATCATCACGGTAGGCTACAGCATTAACGCGACCCCTGCAAATGTGTAGGGTGGTCCGTGCGATGAAATGTGAAGCCTCCCAAAACATTACACTTCCCCCACCCCATCGATTGGTTTTGAAGACGCAGCAGTCTGCAAGACGTTCCCCAAGACGTCTCCACACACGTTGACGGCCATCAGCGTGAGAAAAGATGAAAGCGACTCTCATCACTGAAGAGCACACTTTGCCAGTCTACTCTTCTCCATGTCTGGTGTCTTTGAGCCCATATCAAACGCCGCTGAAGGTTATGATCCCTGAGGATAGCTCCAGCATAAGGTCGTCGTGCACGGGGTCCTCCTTCTCTTAGACGACGTCTTATGGTGTTGGCACTTACTGGTACGTGTCTTCCGACGACTGCTGCACCTGTTCGAGTCGCTGGGTGGAATCTGTCACGCAGATGAGTGACCCGGATGTAGCGGTCTTGAGCCTGGGTTGTAACGCATTGTGGACCAGGACGTTGACGGTCACGTGTTGATCCAGAAACTCGAACATGTTCCACCAACCTTACAATAGTGGACTGATGACAATTGAAGTGTCTGGCAATAGCATGTGTAGACATGCCAGCCCTGGACATTCCCATGGCTTCATTCCGTTGATTTTCAGTAAGTCTCGGCATCTCTAGTGCGTTTGGGAGCATTGTGTGAAACAATAGTTCATAGTATTGCAGAATATTATACATACAGAACCACCTAGTAATAAAACATTTGGGAAAAAAAAGTGATGCGTTTTCCATGGCGCTCAGTATATTATATTATCTACAAAGATAATGTAGTGATAGGTCTGTTATAAATCCAATTGAATCCAAGCTGTGATATTATCTAGCTTCGGTATTTTCATTACTTAATATTAAAGGAGCTAAATTGCTAATATTTGGGACGTAGAAATTGACACAAATGAGATGCAACGCATATAATAATGTAATTTGAATGTATATAAATCTTTTTACATTCAATCGTTTCCGTTTTCAGTATAATTTCTAATCAGTTATGTTCGGCAAAATACGACAGAAGTCTCAATCGAATAGCAATCTCTAGTGTCTGGTTATTCCAGACTAGGCCTACACCGTAGTATTTATTGCACATGCTCTCCAGATAAGAATATGGCGTAACCGTTTGACATGACTTGTCGAAAATGTCTAGCCTTTGTTCTTCGAATCCCTTGTTACAAAATGTCACTGAAATGCATTATGGTACACGATGTGTTTTCCAATGGTAAAATGTTTATTTCGTCTTAAATATTGGATATCAGAAGCCCATCTTTTCCCGGTAAGATCACATCATCGATGTTGATTTAAATTGACAAATAATTTGTGTTTTCAATGTCGAATACTTTGGATGATATTGAGTTTAAGACTTAGCTACTTTAATGTTAAATAATCATATTATGTTAAGTACATATTGGTGTGGGACTAAGCTGTAAGAAATTTGATATTTTAATCACATATATATGTTAAGTACATATTGGTAAGGGGTTATTTAAGAAATTTGATACTTTAGTGAGAAATACCAAGTTATCAATCTAGTTATTAGGTAATGTGTCTTTATAAAAAAAACATAGAAAATACTCAATTTGCATCCCCACCGACGATTTAAATTTTTGATGGTCTATTGTTTTAGTTGATTGTATTTTTTATTTTCTCTCTCAATAAAATAAATTGATATATTTTTTTTTAATGTAGAGATGAAAAGAAGAAAATGGCTATAATTGTTGCTCCATCTGTAGCCGGTGTACTGATTGTAGCTGTTTTGATCGCTTGTATAGCTTGGTGCTGTCAAAAACGAGCTAAAGCCAAGGAAAAAAACGGCAAAACTTACGGCCAAGATGACTGGCTGGGATGAGGAAGTGGTGAGTATTTATTTGATGATGTACACCAATTGGCACGCACCTAAAAGAACCCTTGACAGTCGGAGTTCGAAATAAGAGTAGACCGTTATCCAGGAGGACTTTCCCTCATAGCACACTGCACACATGTCCATCTTCATTAGCCCAGGGCAGAAGAAAAGGACATTAAACTCCGTATCATTTCATTTATTTAATCATACTTAAAACATATGAATAACTGGATTATGTTAATGTTTTTTATACAGCCGCATTGTGGTCGTATATTGCCGTCGCCTCCATCTGTATGAGCGTTGCTTGGCAACCTATTTTTATATATGAATTAAATTAAAAAAAGAAAAACAGTGATCATACATCCTTAAGTGTTATATAACTCTTTGTAGATTTAATCAAATGTGACCATTAGAATTAACACATAGCTGAAGGGGAATAACTCCATTTAATCAAATTATCTGTTCTCTAAACATTTGTCACTGTTTTGATTTTGAGAAATGAAATGGGGTTTAACATCCTACTTTTCTGAACCAACTGGGCTGATGAAAACGGTAGATAAACAATTTACTGTAGTAGTTACTGATTATAAAAGAATTAAATTTTTATAATAAATTCAAGTTTGTTTAGGGCCACTTCATATTTTTCTAACGTTTTTTATTCAGCCTCTTACACCTACGACAGCTTAATCTGACCTTGCTCAGTTAAAATTGATAAAGGAATACGATTTACGACGTGGAGGTATTATTGGCTCTGGAGCATTTGGTACTGTCTATAAAGTAAGTAATTATTCCTTTAACTGTCAGATTTTCCAGGAGGCCATATACATTAACTGCGACAGTTGGAATTTGAAAAGGTGTAGATAAAAATTCCACTGTTTGGGCAAAATTCTACCCCTTCTATTGTATATATGACCATAAGAATTACAATTACTATATGTTAGTCTCAAAATAACCAAAAGTATTGTGTTGATGATACATTAACCATATGTTAGTCTCAAAATAACCAAAGGTATTGTGTTGACGAGACATTAACTATATGTTAGTCTCAAAATAACCAGAGGTATATAGTGTTGATGATACATTAACCATATGTTAGTGTCAAAATAACCAAAGTATCGTGTTGATGAGACATTAACCATATGTTAGTCTCAAAATAACCAGAGGTATATAGTGTTGATGATACATTAACCATATGTTAGTCTCAAAATAACCAAAGTATTGTGATGACACGATGTCAAATTCCATTCTAGTCATGTAACAATTGCAAACATTCAACTAGAGAAAATATATTTTATAATTATTTGTTTTTCGCTGCTTTTTTTTTTCTAGGGATTTTGGATTCCAGAAGGTGAAAATGTTAAAATTCCTGTGGCTATAAAAGTTTTACAGGAAGGAACCACACCCAATCAGAATAAAGAATTGTTGGAAGAGGCTCGTGTCATGTCGTCAGTAGAACATCAGTATTGTGTCAGGATATTGGCAGTCTGTATGACGGCACAAATGATGTTAATAACGCAGCTCATGCCTCTCGGATGTCTTCTGGATTACGTGCGAAAAAACAAAGATCACATTGGATCGAAAGTTTTGTTGAATTGGTGTACACAAATAGCTAAGGTGAGTAGAATCGCAGTTTTATCCACAAAAACACTCTTTTAGTTCCTGAAAAACCCCAACAATTCTTAAGATTCAACACTGACAAGGGGGAGTTAACAAGCTAGCACCTTACGCACTGAGCCACAGATAGGATTTTTTAAACATGCATTATGCAAGAGCTAAATCTGCCTATTGTAGGTCTTTCTTTAGGTCTGAAATGTTTTCTAAAGTATTAATTAGACATTAATTAACTGATCCAGGCCTTAATCAACTCTAGATGGCATCAGATTTCTCCAATATTAAATAGATTAGAATGGTTCAGCGATACTTTGATTTTATGAAATATGGAGGACCGAGACTTAGCTTCGATCAACCAGTACGGTAGTTGAAATTATTGCACACGTCTGTCAAACCTTCAAAGGCTAATATCTTCGCTTGCAATAGAGTAATTTGAATGAAATTTTCAAATTATTCATTTTACATCATCTACTTTCGAACTATTATAGCAAGAATAGCTAGTTCTTTATCTAAATCTTACATAATGTATCTTTAAGTCGGAAAATTTGTTTATTTTTTTTAGGGTATGGTTTATTTAGAAGAGAGAGGTATTGTTCACAGAGATTTGGAAGCTAGAAATGTTCTGTGTAAGTTTTAATATAGATCATTTTATTTTGTATATTTTGTTTATGGAGCAACCGTTAGCATACTCTTGCTTCAAAGCATGTACTACTGTTCGAGATGCCAAGACATCTTCCCTTGCTGGATCTTCCAAAGTGCACACAAACTGGAACCAGACTGAATAAACCTGAAACAGTTTGGACAAAGAAATTAAATCTGTTAAACTACTGGAACATAAAAAGATATAGAGAGAAAAGACATTAATAGATAGTGTTGAATATTTTATGAATATTTTGATTTTATTTATTTCAGTACATACACCAACCCAGGTAAAGATTACAGATTTTGGATTAGCGAAATTATTGGATTATGATGAAGAAGTCTATCAGGCTGCAGGTGAGTAGACAGATTACTTATATCTTGATTAAATACGTTTCATACCTGTAAATTTTATATGAAGAAATGTCAGTGGATACCTTTTAGTATTAAAGGGCCTTGTTTATTATGAAATGAAAGAGGATTTAATGAAGACGGACATTCGCCATACGGTGTGCTATGAAGGACATTTTGCCAGCGAAGTGGCACTGTTGCCTACTCTTATATCAAATCCAATATAAGAGTAGGCCATAGTGCTGCTGCCCATGAAAATTTCCCTCATAGCACACTGTATGGCGTATGCCAGTCTTCATTAGCTCAGTCGGAGCAGAACAGTAGGACGTTAAACCCCTTTAATTTTATTTCTATTTGATTATTTCAGATGCCTATAAAATGGCTGGCGTTAGAATGTATACAACACAGAATATTTACACATAAAAGTGACGTCTGGAGTTACGGTGTTACCGTCTGGGAATTAATGACATATGGACAGAAACCATACGACAGTATTCGTGCCCGGGATGTTCCCGATCTGTTAGAGAAAGGGGAACGACTCCCACAACCACATTGTTGTACTATTGACGTCTATATGATCATGATAAAATGTAAGTACCGGGGTATTGAACTCTTCTGGGAGGGGATGGTCTAATGGGTTGACGTGTGCACATTACATGGTCTGTCATTGAGTCAAGTGTTATGGTGTTGATTCCAGGGTTGTACGTGACAAGGGATAGAGTCACCTGTCCAACCTCAGGGGTTTTCTCCAGGTCTTCCAGTTTCCTCCCACTGCTAAAGACCCCTACGTGCAAGCAAATTATTGAAGTAAAATTGAGCCATATGTTAGTCCTGAAATGACCTAGTTTGTCAGTTCACCTTGTCATTGTTGCTTAAGCAAGAAAACTTTTGTAGAAAAAAAGGAGCTATGTACTATATCCAGTTATTCACTTGCCCTGGAAAAAATACATACAAAATTAAATGTCATATATAATATCTTGCTATAGGTTGGATGTTGGATGCAGAAAGTCGGCCATCTTTCTTGGAGTTGCAGGAAGAATTTTCAAAGATGGCACGAGATCCTGGTCGATATCTCGTCATTCAGGTAAGATGCCATTTATATTTAATGTTTTTTTATAAACTTATTCATCTATATTTCCTCTGAGTTAGTCTCTACATATCTTTTAATATTTTATTTATTTGTTTTAAATTTATATGTAATTTGTAAATAAGATCGATTTCTGTGTCTATAAACATTATTTTAATGAAAAAAATAAAATAGAATAAAATTTGCTGTGAAATTTCTCATGGACAGTTTTATTACCGTACCGTATAAATTCTTTTTTGAGATATTTTTTATTGTTGATTATATTTGAGTTTTTATTATCTATCATTTATCATTTAAATGTCCCAAAAAAAATACAAAATGTTAATTTTTTTTTAATTATGCTTAAAATTTTGAGTTATTGTGATTTATGATTTTTTATTTAAATGTTAAAAAAAAAAATGTTAATTTTTGAATTATGCTTAAAATTTCCTGACTGGTCATTGTTTTTAGTTATTTTATGGTTTATCAGTTAAATATAAAAAAGAATTTAGAAACGTTAAAGTTTGAATTATGCTTAATATGTCCTGAATTCAATCGTACACATTTTAAATATAGGATTATATAAATTAACTTTAAAGGGTGACGTTCTAAAACGCCTATCAGGAGTGTCCAATGGGGCGGAAGCGGAAAATAATGCGCAAAATTCTGCTGATACTTCTCTTCAGGTAGACTTGATCATCTGGTTTATTGGCATGTTGTATCGTGACTGTTGCAGTTACCTCCCCTTTCATCATATCCCATCATGCACTTTATCATTGTCATTATTTTTTAGTAGAGGAGTTTTGTCTGTCATTTGATTGGGGACTAATTTTCTTGAAAATAGTAATAATGGCGGTTATTTATTTTTTTAGAATCTTGTTATTTCATTGGTTGAGGTCGAGAGATAAAATATGTATTAGCATATCAATTCGCAACCATTCAAAATGCTATATCCTTAAAATTTACTTATTTAAATTTAAATTGCTATTTTACACCAGTAGAGCGAATGAAAGAGAGGATATGGGGTTTAACATCCAATTAACACAAAATAGATCATTTTGGGACTAACACATAGTACAATTTTAATTGAATAATTCACTTGTACGTGGGGGGTCTGGAGAAACCCCAGTAGATTAGGCAAATAACCCCGTACTCTATTTCTGATTGAAACCACACCGCATGACTTAGTGTATCAGATATGTTTCATTATAACGTTTTTGATGAAATGATATTTAACTAAATAACTTCCCAACATGGAGAAGAGGTGTAAATAGGGCTATAACGTGTTTGATAAAATAGGCCTAATAACTTTCAAACATTTATCAGATATGTGTAAATAGGGCTATAACGTTTTTGATAAAATGAATTGATATAAGTTTCAGCTTATTTTCAAATCCATTGTATCGGTATTTTATATACTCATGTCATACTCGAAATGAACTATTTCTTTAAACCAAAATGAAAGTAGAATAATACACACAGTAGGCTTATATTTGAAAGGATATTCTGAACACAGGGATATCCATTCATCTATAGACACAGAGACTGATGTGGCTAGTGGATTGTTTCTAGCAATGGAATGGTTGTAATTTGTATTTCAATAAATCCTGCATGAACTGTAGAAATTTACAAGTTATCTAATATAAACAATTTAACATCAAAATTAAAAGATACACTTATACCAAATTGCTAATTTCATCTGCACTAAATAAATATGAAGTTCCCAAAATTCTCCCAAATTAATTATTTGTCATATAAAATACCTGAAAATACTGGACATTTTCTAGCAAAGATCATAAAAAAACAAGAATTATGTTGGGAGAGAATACACCCTAAACCCATTTTTTGATGCAAAAATCTAGATGTTGAATTTGGTAGGGTTCACTCTAAACTCCTTTTTGATAAGAAAAAAGAACCCCAAAAAACCTCTAGATACTTATTTTGGGAGAGTTCACTCGAAACCCCTTTTTGTTAAGAAAAACCCCTCTAGATATTTATTTTCGGAGAGTTCACTCTAAACTCCATTTTGATAAAATAAAACCCTGCTAGATATTTATTTTGGGAGGGTACACTCTAAATCCTTCTTTGATAAAAAAACAATTAACCTAAAATAAAGAAGAAAAGTGAATGTTTTGCATGTTTTAATATTTAGGATTAAGACAATATAAAAAGCATGTTAACTAACTGAATCTGAATAACATGATGAATTATTCTGTTGTTAATACAAGTTGTATAAACTAGTTCACATGTGCATCGTGACTAGATGTAGCTTGTTACAGAAAGACAGACAGGTAGCTACAGGTGTTCAAATGAAATGGGGGTTAACAATGGTTGCTGTTTCACCTGTATATGTCAGACATGTCGTACGCATTCAGACATCTGGATATGGTGAATCATATTCCAAATTCAAAATAATATTTACTCTACTGAGTGTATAACTATTGCGCATCTCGACTGTCGTTGATAATAAATGAGATTGATTAAGTAATCATTTGCCAAGGCGGCGGTGCTAAGGACCATTCGTACTTTGATAGATAAATAATTGTCAGCCCAGTCAACTAATGCTATCGCCCTTCACATAAGAGTACCAAAAAAAACCCTAATGACCTTTTGTGAATGATTTTTTGGTACCGTCAGTCAAATGAAGTGTTTTGTTTATGACTTTGATGAAAATTATCAAAAGATAAAAATTATAAATTGATACTAAAAATAATTGTTAGGGTGTCTGATTCGTGAGGCCCTTGTTCTTATTCTTCATAAAAGTGCGCAATTGAGACATTTTCATATGCAATCAGGACATGCGTGGAATGAGAGAATACAATTCCAGAATGTTCAATTGAGTATCCCCCATAATACTGAAATGAAATGGAGTTTAACGTCCTACTGTTCTCCCATCTACATTAGCCCAGTAGGAGCAGAACATAAGGACGCTAATGAAGATGGACATATGCCATACAGTGTGCTGTGAGGGAAATTTTGCCCTGGCAGCGGCACTATGGCCTACTCTTATATATGGAATTTCAACTGCCGAGGGATCTTTTACGTACATGCCAAGACCTCGGTTTTTCAACCCATCCGAACGACTAGACAGCTGTCCTTGTCAGGTCCTCCATCCTGCACCGTCCTGACAAGGGAAAAACCACGCCGGAAAATCCTCATGAACTTTCTCGGCTAATGCAGGGATCGGACACGTGGCCTCGAGGATAGCGAGCCAGTGTCTTACCCACTGAGCCACCGTGGCTCTCCCCATACTACTATCATTAACATATTGGTTCTCTTCATGATTCAGTTGCTTCTTTTATTTTGCTTCGGCACTAAGAAGGTTTTTTTTGTTTGGGATTAGGAGGGTTTTTTGTTTCCTAATTAATTAAGCTATTTTTTCTGTTTTTGTCCTATTTGTTGATTTTATTTGTTCCTGCTTTCTGTTTGGACAATCCTATCGTAACACATCACACGACAGTGGGAATCTAGCATAATCAATGAGGCCCATCAAAAGATTTTAGCAAAGATTTACAAATCCAAGAGTGTATCAGATTTCTATATGTATGTACTATGTGTGTATATATATATATATATCTGTTTATCAGATTTCTATATGTACGTACTATGTGTGTATATATCTGTTATGTTGAAAGATGTTGGTTTAGCTGTGAAATATTAGATATTGTCCAAAGAATGCAAGATTAGAAAAAATTTGACAAAGAGTTTAAACTACTCTGATTGACATGATGTGTAGATTTACAAATCCAACGTTTGTCAGATTTCTATATATATATATGTATCTGTGATGTTTTATTAAAGGGAGACAAACTGATCATACGACAAACATGATCTGATGAGGAGCATGAGCGTGGCCATCGACGGACCGGAAGAGGTCGTTGAAGCAGATGATTATTTACAACCGCATTTGAACTCGGACGAGTCTCACGATAATAATAACGCACAAGTCAAGGTAGATAACTCTAGCAGAACGCTGAACAAAAACAAAAAACAACAAGAATCAAGATCTTTGCGATTCAATAATGAATAAGTTTGTGTTATAATGTATCAACGTCTTCCATTTTGAATTTTTTGTAAATTACCTTAAATGAAGACAGCATGGACGTGTTCAGGGGGATTTGAATAGAGGAGGGTGGGGCCGGGTGTCCTGAGGTACCCAAGAATTTGATAAAATCAGAAGCACTGAGACTAGATTTCTACTCATTTATGTGTAGTATTCGAGTGGTGTGATGCCAAAATAGCGACACTGCTTTGCACGGTAGTTTGTTCCGTGATTTATCGCAGGAAAAAATATGCTCTGTGTGATCAAGGGTGGGTCCGGACACCTCTGAAAGAAAATAATATTTAATACCTGTTTCTCAAATCGGTAAATTGACAGGTAATTTAATTAGCTCGTTAGTGAGGTAATTAACGTTTGAATGACTACACCTGAATGTTAACTCATCTGAATGTTGGTGTTTAGTCGGCACAGAAATTGATGTCGTAACCTCTTTGTACTTGTTGTTTTTTGTTGTTACCAGACCTGATTGTTGTGAAAATGATGAGAGTTTTTTTCAGATTAAGATATGAATTATAATATTGTTAAATATCCATTATAAGTTGCATGAAATATGGTTTATTGTTCTAGTTTTCTGCACTGACTGATCTATGAGTGATATGGGGAACAATTTACACTGACAGTGGTACTATGGTCTACTCTTATTTCTAATTCCTACTGTTAAGGGTTCTTTTACATGCACTCAATGTGTTCACGGGACCTAAGTTTTACATCCCATCTGAAAAACTAGACACTGCTCCTTGTAAATCCTTCCCTCCTGCACCACTGACAAGGAGGAAACCACCTGAAAAACCAGAGGAACCACTGGAGATACCGAGGATGTCCTCTATGTTGCATGAAGAGATTCCTGATAATGGGAAGATACTATCGTCCACCCGTCTTTACTGTTCTCCCAATCAATTAATTCATCAATTTATGGTTCCAGATTTTTAAGGGAAATGACATAAAAATACAACTATCTCACCTGACAACTGTCTTCCTTTATTAAAATACCAACGTTTGGCTTGACGTCACGAAAACTCCTATGTCTTAACTAATTTTGTACAAAGATTACCGTACTGACATGTAACATGAAACCACATCAGTAGAGTTACCTCGCTATGTAGAATTCAGTACCTGTTACCATGAAACATTCAATACATCATTAGGGTTACCTCCCTTATACAGAATTCAGTACCTGTTACCATGAAACATTCAATACATCATTAGGGTTACCTTCCTTATACAGAATTCAGTACCTGTTACCATGAAACAGTTAATACAAGAGATGTTCATAAATTTACTGTGAAGTCATTGTCTCTAACCCCCAAAACTTAAAAGCTACCATTGAAAACATTGTTCGTCAGCATGTATTTGTTGACTGGCAACTCTGTATTTTCAAGTCACCTTTAACATAATATGATATTTGATAGGTACCTTTATTACCTGGCATGGAAGGGGCATCACAAATTGATGGAAAGTTTCCAGGAGCCAGCAAGCCTCGACGAGAAAAACGGTATGCTCATCTTGATAACGCTGTTCAAGCACGTCAACAGCGACAGACATCCCCAACCAGAGGGCGTGGTGATAGCATCAATTCACGGTATAGCTCAGATCCTGTCAAATTCTTAAAAGATAAAGGTAAATTGACATATTGTTATATTTTTGGGGTGTTTTCCTTAAGGGTTTAGAGAAATGTTGACTGTATATATCCTGTATATACATTATATACTAACATGTAACTGTGATGGAGGTATGTGGCATATTGGACCATTTCATGTGGCATATTGGACCATTCCATGTGGCATATTGGACCATTTTTATACGCTCACATTTTCATGTGGACGTATTATGCCGTCGCCCCTGTCCGTCCGGACGTCCGTCCGCCCGTCCACAATTATTTGTGGACTCTCTACAGGTCACAATTCTTATCCGATTTCGACGAAACTTGAAATATAGGTGTATCCCCAAAAGATCTCAGCTGCTTTCGATATTGGCATGTATCGGATCGAAACTTCATGGATTATGGCCCCTGTTTGTACGAAAAATCACGTTTTTAGCTTGTGGACCCTATAGAGGTTACAATTTTGATCCGATTTTGTTGAAACTTGAAATTTAAGTTTATAACCCAAAGATCTCTGTTCCTTTCGATATTCGCGCATATCGGACAGTAACTTACTGAATTATGGCCCCTGATTGTACGAAAAATCACGTTTTTAGCTTGTGGATCCTATAGAAGTCATAATTTTTATCCGATTTAAAAAACCGTATTACTATATCACCGTTACACCCTAAGGACGACTGAGTTCGAATTTCGTGAAAATCGGCCCAAAATTGACAGACAAAATGGCCGCCGTTCGTTCTGGAATAACATAAGAATATGTTATATCAAGGTTGTGGACCCTATAGAGGTCACAATTTTTATCCGATTTTGTTGAAACTTGAAATATAAGTTTATAACCCAAAGATCTTGGTTCCTTTCGATATTCGCACATATCGGACCATAACTTCCTGAATTATGTCCCCTGATTGTACGAAAAATTGCGTTTTTAGCTTGTGGATCCTATAGAGGTCATAATTTTTATCCGATTTAAAAAAACGTATTATTATATCACCGTTACACCTTGAGGACGACTGAGTTCGAATTTCGTGAAAATCAGCCCAAAATTGACAGACAAATTGGCTGCCGTTCATTCAGTTCCTTTCGATATTTGTGCATATCGAATTCTAATATCCTGAATTATGGCCCTTGATTGTAGGAAAAATCACTTTCTTGTTAGCTTGTTCTCTATCCATCTCTCGAAAATGTGGGCGTATCCTGCCTGGCAGCCGCTGGTTTTCTATGGTGCATATTGCACCTCATGGTAATGATGATTTGATATAAAAATGTACTGTAGTATTTTGGTAGACCAAAGATTTGACTACTGAGATTAAGACCATACAGGATTATATTTGACACAAGAACGTAAAATGTTGACCTTCCCCAACATTAAAAGGGGGAGTAAAAGTAGCATTGGTATATATGAAATTTTTGATGAGATTTGTCCACCTGTGAATGCGATACGAGACAGGTGTCGTAAATACATGAGCCTCTGGGAAAATACAGATTAGTTGACACATCTGCTATGATCTGTTTTCAGATGACATAGAATTAGGTTTACCGATGTTGTTGTTAAACGGTGGCGATGAGAGGAATGGAGGATTGCCTTACAAACGAGATGTGCCTTTACACCTACCAGTTGATGAAGATGATTACCTGCAACCCAAATCACAAATACCACCTGCTTATATGGACCTTAACGATAAAGGTAAGAGAAATTAAATGAAACCGGGGTTAGCCTTTTACTTTCCTGCATAAATCTGACTAATGAAACAGGGATACACCATGCTATGAGGGACATTTCCCCCTCAGTTTTTTGTTCCATCTTATTTACTAATTGTTGTTCATTGCCCTTCTTCCTGCACAACTGACAAAGAGAGAATACAAAATTATGTTGAAGAATGCTGGGGAACTTTCTTGTGACCTCCTGGTTAGTGGAAATATTTACAGGTTATTGTCAGTGTATGTGTTATATTTACAGGATATTATCAGAATGTGTGTTATATTTACAGGTTATTATCGGAGTGTGTTATATTTACAGGGTATTATCAGAGTATGTGTTATATTTACAGGATATTATCAGAATGTGTGTTATATTTACAGGTTATTATCGGAGTGTGTTATATTTACAGGGTATTATCAGAGTATGTGTTATATTTACAGGTTATTATCGGAGTGTGTTATATTTACAGGTTATTATCAGAGTATGTGTTATATTTACAGTTATTATCAGAGTATGTGTTATATTTACAGGTTATTATCAGAGTATGTGTTATATTTACAGGTTATTACCAGAGTGTGTGTTATATTTATAGATAGAGTATGTGTTATATTTATAGGTTATTATCAGAGTATGTGTTATATTTACAGGTTATTATCAGAGTATGTGTTATATTTACAGGTTATTATCAGAGTATGTGTTATATTTACAGGTTATTATCAGAATGTGTGTTATATTTACAGGTTATTATCAGAGTATGTGTTATATTTACAGGTTATTATTAGAGTATGTTTTTATATTACATGTTATTATCAGAGTGTGTGTTATATTTACAGGTTATTATCAGAGTGTGTGTTATATTTACAGGTTATTATCAGAGTATGTTTTTATATTACATGTTATTATCAGAGTGTGTGTTATATTTACAGGTTATTATCAGAGTGTGTGTTATATTTACAGGTTATTATCAGAGTGTGTTATATTTACAGGTTATTATCAGAGTGTGTTATATTTACAGGTTATTATCAGAATGAAAGAGATGTTTTTGACGAAGAAGAGGAATATGAAGCTACAGAAGAGGAGGCTGTTAATAAACCATTGACACAGGCCATAGATAATCCTGAATATTTCGATACACCCAAGCAAAATGGCGTTAATAAATCGGGGATACCTGCTCCGTTACCTAAACCCAGAAATCTAAACTATTATAATGACATTAATCAGTTGTCTCCCTTGGAGAAAAAACAATTAATATTAAGAGTGAATAGTAATGAGGGTGGTATTGAAACAAGTATTTAGCCCAGAGTTATCTACCCTCCCCCCGTTACAGAATAGACTCTCCGTCAGTTCAGTGAATCTGGTCACATGATTTAATATAGATTGAACTGTGTGATACATCATGTGACTAGGTCATGTGATTAGTGAAAGTTGATGTGTGAACTATTTTATGTTATGAGCTAGGCCTAAATGTGAAACAACAGGATCATGTGACTAAGGAAGAATCATGTGATATGACATGTGACTTAGGAAGAATCATGTGACACACCATGTGACCAGTCACATGATTTTACTGTTGCTGTGTTATAAGCTTATTCATGTTGTGTTTTCGGTTATCGTGAGATAAAATGGATGTTGGAGTGTAATAAAACAGCTAATTGTATGGAAGTAGTATAGGCCTACGTTATCTAACTAGTATAGGCCTACGGTATCCAACTAGTATCGACCTACGGTATCCAACTAGTATAGGCCTACGGTATCCAACTAGTATCGACCTTCGGTATCCAACTTAACAAATCAATTCAATTGGAGTGTGAACTGGTCCTACAAATAGTGTCGGAACGAAGAACAATAATCAGATTCTCCCGTCGTTGTTGGTTGAAGAGATAACATATGTGCTGATATATATTGTGACTCGTACATTCTCTGGACAAAACGAAGTCATAGTTTACCACTCGTTTTAAATAAGTGCTGACGAATTTGTAGTAAAAATATGGGGGGAGGGTCAAATAAAGTCCAGTGTCGAGATGTTAGGATATTTAGTACAGGTGTAAATACCTGCTGTAATTCATACACTAAGTGTAGAGTTGACAATGGCTTGTTGTATTCAACGCTTATGTTACAACCAGGGGCAAAAACATGATATTAAACACTGCCATAACACAAAGCTTGAATCAAACTGAACACTGAATTGAAGGACAGTCTAGAGTCTTGACCACGATGATTCAAGTACTGTCTGGTGTCTTGACCAGGATGATTAAAATAGAGACGAGTCTCGACTACGATGATTCAAATACCGTCTTGTAGAGAAAGACTAATATTGAGATATAAAACTGAATGATGGAAGCTATGAAATGTACGTTGATTTGTCAACATAAGGAGCATACACCTAAGATTGTTATTTGTTGCAAAAAATAGGGCAAATCGTTATAAAATAAAATAAAAACAACTATATCCAATATATCATACACCAGTATTTATAGCGTGAAGACGGATGGAGAGAACAAAGCTCAATGCAAAAAATCATATTTCAGTTACCCAATAATGCCAGTACATAATCATGTAATATGCAGCATTTATCCAGTGGGATAAAACTATGGTGACATCATCATTATCCAATGACATGCTGATAAACTGATCATATGACAGTCATGTGACATCATGATTATCCAATAAAATTCTGATGAACTGATCATGTGACATATGAACTGATCATGTGACATATCATGTGACACTATAATTAACCAATAGTTGAGTTAGAAATTGTGAAATGAGTCCGTTTGAAAATGGTGTCCAATGATGGTTAGTCAATCTATCTACTGCATCAGTTAACTTCAACAATTAAAGCTTTGTTTATATATATATATATGATGTAATTTAAAAATGTCTGTTACAATCACTGTAACAAATTCTTCCATGTATCTGATTGGTTAGTGATTTATATATAGACCAATCGCATTTTGATTTTGCTTAGTTAATGAGTAGCTTTTTTTAAAAAAAAACAAATATGTATGCATGCCACTTTAATTCCTGTATTAATTGTAAGTAGTGGTTGTGATTTTATTGTTTGACTGACTTGATAATAGAGAATCATAATATGAAAGGTTAGATCAACCAGCCTCTTTTTATATGAAAAAACAAGAAGAACTACTGCTTTTCTTTCCTTGTGCCAAATCAAAATCTCCATGTTTGAAAAAAAAAATCCATAAATGTTTTTGTTTTTAATTTATGAATGTGTTTTGTTGAAGGGAGATAAATATTAAATGTGTTTTTAAGAGGAAGTAAAGAAATTCACGCTTATCCAGTCACGCGGAATTAAGGAAAATAGCTTAGTCTATTTCTGTTTATTTTGGGAAGATTAGTCTTGCGGGGTTGAGATCAGACCATTTGGCAAGGAGATCAGGTTTGAGAGAGGTAGGAATTTCTATACGGAAAACTTGCCTGTCGTTCTGGAGGTGATCCGTTTCATGTTGTAAACTCATTGATTGCGAATCCTTTTGGGAAGATTAAGCTCAAGTAGGTTAGACTAGTTGTGTTATGGAATTCTTCACATCACCATCTGGTTTAAAAAATGTCTCTTCTTTAGGTGACAAAGAACTGTTTTGTGTAAGAAGGTTTACAATAGTAGAATTAATAACGGGGGATATGGATAACGATATAAGCGCTTGAGTGGATGTTAACCTCATTTCCCTCTCTCTCTCTCCTAGATAACCTGCGTAAGACAACAATAACTCAGTCTATACCCTATATCTCCTAGATGACCTGATCAATCCATACCAGGGGTAGACAATCTATAGTAGCGAAAGGCTCGGATGGTATCAGCCCACTTGCTAAAAAACCTTAAGTCAATATCTGAAAGTGTTACACATTGTTGATTAATTTAATTTTTAAAGATAATTTAAAATATTGTAGAAAATTACAAGTTTAGTGAATTATATAATAATATATGGATTTTTATGCTAGATTTTAATGATAGAAATTTAAATGTCCCACATTTCATATTTTTATTGTTTGTTGTGTTGTAAATATCAATTGTATATAATGTATAGTAGCCTATATGGTAGCGTACTGATAGTGTGCGTAGTTATATTTAAACATTTGTATTTAGAAATTTGTTAAATTATTTTCAAAATGGGATAATTCAGTCCGGGTAATAATGAACGGTTTTAGAGTTACCTGACGTAATATCAGATTTGGAATTGAGGGTTTTAGTCGTACCTGACGTAATATCAGATTTGGAAATAACGGTTTTATTGGTAGCTGACCTAATATCATTATTGGAAGTAATGATTTGTAGTGGACATAAAAATCAGTCACTACTCAACTAGTACTTTGTGCTGGACTTGTATTGAAAATGTCCTTAAAATATGGAATAAAGATAAATCCATGATAGGCACCAGAGGGAGTATGGCTGACAAAGTCTGACTTTCTCTCTTATAATGTCTGTGACAGGTGCCTTATTTCCAGGCTTGTTCCAATGAGCCTTGAATGAAACATGAAAAATCAGTCAGTTAAACTTCCCTGGAAGATTGTTAAATTGTATATATATAATTTGAGATAATTATATCATAAACTGGAAATTGTAATCATGCACTATCTGCCTAGTGCATGATGCCTGTCTGCAGAAAGTCATATACACCAGGATCTAGCTGCCTAGTGCATGATGCCTGTCTGTATTAAGTTATATACACCAGGATCTAGCTGCCTTGTGCATGATGCCTGTCTGTAGAAAGTCATATACACCAGGAACTAGCTGCCTAGTGCATGATGCCTGTCTGTAGAAAGTTATATACACCAGGATCTAGCTGCCTTGTGCATGATGTCTGTCTGTAGAAAGTTATATACACCAGGATCTAGCTGCCTAGTGCATGATACCTGTCTGTAGAAAGTGGTGTACTTCAGCCTCCAGATATCTAAAGATAATTATTTAAACATCCTGATGTACAGAGAATTAAAGATGATCTGGAAATTGTAATCATGCTCTTACTGCCTGGTGCATGACAACTGTTAATACCTATACTCCTGATATCCCATTTTAAAAATAAACTTTAATTGTTTTTGTGGAAAGGTGTACAAAGTGATATACTCCCGGGACTGTGTTCACTAAAATATGTTAAGAATGCAGCTTTTTCATTGGTTAATAGCTTAAATTTGTACTAGGATTTAAAGCCTCAGCCAATGAAAACCTTTCATCCTTAAGATATTTTAGTTCACGATTTCATGAATAAGGTCAGAGATATCCCATTTATAAAATTAACTTTTTGTTTTTGTAGAAAGAAATTGTTTTATCATTTTTAACCTCACATAATATAAAATGCTATCAGGTTTGGTGGAATTGTTAATAAGATAAAATTCTGTGTAATTGTAAATACTTGTAATAAAGAGCATATTAATTCAATATATCATAGATCTAATATCAGTAATAATCCAAATACGACACATAGCAAATATTTTAATTTATTAAAAAACGAATTCCATATCATTTTTTTTTCTTTTTCATTTTTTTTTGTTTAGTAGCTTAGAGTTTCTAATCAAATCGTGGAAACGTGTTGTTTTAAAATCAATTGGTTCAAATAGATCATTAAAAGGTAAACAAAAGTAAACAAAAATCATAATTTCTTTTCTTAAACTATGTTAAGCCAATATTCTCTATATAATGAAATGAAATGGGGTTTAAAAGTTCTTATTTCCTGCAAAAACTGGGCTGATGAAGACAATCATACATCGTACAGTGCGCTATGAGGGGAATTTTACCTGGACAGTGGCACTACGACCTACGCTTTATTTCAATTTCTGACTGTTAATGGTTCTTTTAGCTTACTTGCTGCCCATCGTGTAAACGGGACCTAGGTCTTTCATCTGATCCCGAACGACTAGACATTGTTCGGTCTATATAAAGACAGTTGTAAATCCTGTTTTAGTTTACGTGCTGCCCATCGTGTAAACGGTACCTGGATCTTTCATCCCATCCCGAACGACTAGACACTGTTCTGTTGATATAAATACAATACAATTTTAAATCCTATTTTATTTGTATATTTACCAAAAGTTTTATAAATTTTATCAATCATATTGAAATTTTATAAACTGAAATTCCAAAACTTAGGGGTTTTTTTAAAAAAAATTATTTGGAATTAATGTTTTATTTTCATGCAGTGATTTCAAAGTAGCCATTTTAAAGGGACACAATTGTCAGCCATGTTTTAGATAGTCTTGGATACCCAGAACAATCTGAATGGTAGAGACTATGTATTACATTCATTTGCTTAAAATAAATGTTATTAATAAATTATGTTTTTAGGGGCCAGAATACAAATGTAAATTCGATAATTCTCAATTTTGTGAAAATTTTGGACCTTATTCACAAAAACTTAAATTATTTGAGGGATGCAACAATTTCATTGGTTGAGATTTGAAATCATAGTACAAATTTGATCTTTTCGCCAATAAAAAAGCCACCATTCTTGAAATATTTTAGTTTAAATTTTTGTGAATAAGACCCTTGATGTTAATTACGTAATATGTTGAATAAAATCTCTTTTTCAACCTACATGAAAGCCAACCTAAAATTTAAAAATTTATAAAAATAAGTAATTCAGCTGGACACCATGATCATATGATAACTGAGGTATCCAGGCTGGATAATCGTGACTTAGTCTTGATTGTCAAGTACTGCTGCTACGGTATTAAATTCTCAATGCTTCAACTTCAAGTAGTCATAATTTTGCTCAGAATAAAGTAATTTGAATGATATTTTCAATATTATCTATTTATCAACTGGTATATCAAGAAAGTCCAGGTTTTTTTTTATCTAAATCTTACATAATACATCTTTAAGAAGAAATCAACAACATAACCATTTTTATCCAAATTTTAAATATATTTTTAGCTTTATATATATATCTATCCACAGATTCTGTAAGATATTTATCATTTGAACCTTGAATTAGGACAAAATGGGTCTAAAAGCACACATCAAAGTAATATGAATGTATATATACAATGATTTCAAAATTAGTCAGAAACCATAGAGTAGAGTACACGACTCGTGTACCTAATTTAAAATGTTCATTATGTATTAAATATTGGATATTATAATTAAGATGCCATATTTCTTATGGCAAGATAACAATATCAATAGTGATTGAAATGGACCAATATTGAATTCTACTTCATGTTTTTAATTTTGAATATTATAAAAAAATAGTTAGAGGTTAAGCTCCTTTAATATATTTGAATGAAAAGTAAAATATATATATATAGATATACCCGGAAGCTATATCACGTGATTTAGACAGATTAATTATCATACTAAACTTACGCTGTCTGTCTATAAATATACTATTCAAAAAAAGTAGGGGATATTTGATTTTTAAGTGTTATTAAAGTCACCTAATGAAACTGACGAAGAAACAAATGACAAAATGAAATGAAGTTCACATTCATCGATTTATTCCAAATGATCGTTAGACTAAGTAAGGCACAGACTGACCATTATAAGGGTAAAATGATACCCGGGGTCAAACAGCAAAGTTACCACAGCATCACAACCAAGTCAGTAACGGGTAAATCCTCCCCTGTTTGCCAAACAAGCATTGATCCGACGTGGCATACTCCTAATGAGACGTCTAAGGTCATTTTGGTCCAGATTGTCCCATTCCTGTTGCAACGCAGCAGCAAGTTCTTGGACATTGGCAGGACGTTGTTGACGTTGACGTAACCTTTGTCCAAGCATGTCCCAGACATGCTCGATGGGGGAGAGGTCGGGACTCAGTGCTGGCCAAGGTGATGTTCTGTTGTTGGAGGTAACCTGTAACGATCCTGGCCCTGTGACATCTTGCGTTGTCATCCTGGAAGATGAAACGGCGGCCATGACGTCGTGCGAACGGCACAACATGGACTGCCAAGATGTTGTCCCGGTAGTACTGGCCTGTAACACGCCCTGCAACAACATGTAAAGCCGTTCTTCCAGCAAAAGTGATGCCTCCCCACACCATAACAGAACCACCCCCAAATCGATCATGTCTGATGACGTTAACGTCTTGGAAGCGCTCGTTTCGACGACGCCACACCCTCCTACGTCTGTCCAAAAAATCAACAGTGAACCTTGACTCATCTGAAAACATCACATTGCTCCAGCGTCGATTATCCCAGTGTTGACGATCCCTACACCAACGACGTCTTGCCTGAATGTGATGATCTCTCAAACAAGGGATCACGCGAGGACGTCGGGCGCGAAGGTGATCCTATGCAGTCGATTCCGAATCGTCTGGCCACTCACTCTCACACCAGTGTCTGTTTGAAGACGAGCGCTGATCTGATTTGCTGTGATGACACGATTTCTCAAGGCCAAGGTACGGATAAATCGATCCTGGGCTTGAGTTGTCGCCCTTGGTCGACCTGAGCGTGGTCTGTCCTGTACAGATTGTGTATCACGGTATCTGGGCCATAGCCTGCTTATGACAGACTGAGAAACATTCATCGTCCGCGCCACAACCGCCTGTGTTGTGCCGATCTGTAGCATGCCAAGGGCACGTAACCTTTCATTTTGGGTAAGCCGACGCATATCAAAATTTGTTTTCTGGTCACTAAAACAATTAAACTGATGTTTCCACCCTGGAATTCAATGCCACAATGACTGTAACATTCAAAGTCAGAGTCGTGCAAATCTTGGGTTGGACCCCCATGATGATCCCAAGCATCACCTGCATTCCATGCGGTAGCTATTGGTGCGTTTGGGCGTCACATGTAACTGGAAATGTTTCTTCTGTTAGGTTCTATAGTGACTTTTTTCGTAGTCATTTGCATATTTTAGTATTATGCCCCCAAAATCAAATATCCCCTACTTTTTTTGAATAGTATAATTCTTCACATGATCATTAATAGATGATTCAATCAACTTTTTCTCAACGGTCGCAACATTACGAACAATTCTCTTAAACTTAAACATATCTCCAGGTAAGAATCGAAGAATTGGTAGGACATTCAAAACAGTCGTGGATTCAACCCATGAAAAATTCTCCTCGACCTTCTCCAGATATTCTTTAAATACTCATAATCAAATCTTTGTCCATAAACTAAAGATGATATCACGTTGGATACCGAGGCTTGTGTTAAACGGCACATGTCAAATTGTTCACCCTTCTGGTTTCCAATAATTTCAACAAAATGGCCAATTTCTTCATTTATTTTGTCTTCAAGTATCGTTTTTCCAAAACCAAATTCTCTTAAAGTTTCTAGAGCAAATTTTCTTTGATCTTTCCATAGTTGACCCGGGGTGAAGGCAATCCCTGAAAATGATATTTTATAATTTAGTGATATTTGGTTTGACGACATTGAGAGGAGTATACATGGATTCAAAATATACGTCTACATTCCATAAGACCTGGTGTTCCATAATCGAATGTTCATTTCAGTAGACCCGACCTTCCATAACCTATAATGTCCATTTCAGTAGACCCGACCTTCCATGACCGATTGTCCATTTCAGTAGACTGAATGTCCATTTTAGTACACGACTAGGTCATTTCGGGACCAACACAGGGTTCAATTCATTTCAATAATTTGCTCCCGCGTATTATCTTTCAGTGGAAGGAAACCGGAGGACCCGGAGAAAACCAACGAGGTTGGACATGTGACCCTACTCCTTGTCACGCACAACCGGGGAATTGAAACACGCCACTTGACTTAATGACAGAGCTTGTGATTTCACGCGCACGCGTTAAACTACTAGACCACTCGACCCCGTCCACCTAAGAAATATGAGGGATGGGAGAGTGCTTATGCAAAGAACTGTATCTCCGAGAACACGTATTACGCTTCTGGACGTGGATCCTTGCTTACCTTTTTTCTGGTTGATTACATCGTTTATAAACATTGATGGTCTGTTACTAAACATGTCGGCCCTTTTCACCAAAGCTTCTTTAATCAAATCATAACCATTGATAAATATAAATAATCTCGGTCCAAAATAAACGCTAAATATATCTCCATGTTTCTTCCTCAGTTGTCTTATAGCTAATCTCATATCACCGTCTCCTCCTTCCAGGGACAACAGATCTTCTAGTATTGGTAACGTAAATCTTGGACCTGGGGGAATCCCTCGGGGTTTTCGCACCAGCCACCATAGTCCAACACCAACGCCAAATATTAAAGTTCTGACATTAACATTATCCTTACAAAACTCCTTGATATCGTCGATGGTAATGGCTAGAAATACGACATGAAGTTTTGTTAGAATTCCGGCCATGTTATTGAATACTAACTATGATTATATAAAAACACAAATGAACGGTGCCTGGGCCAAAGTTCAATGTTGTAATTTCAGTTGAGTTAGTACCACACCACATAAACTACTGAACACAGTACATCGACGTAACATCAATTTATACAACTACTACGTTAGCGTAATATATATCACAAATTACATATTTGTCAGTTTTTGTTATCATACTGATTGAACATATTATAGAGTCTTGCATCATTAATGGAAGCAATCCAACCAAATATCTCCGCTATAACAGTGTTTTAACATACCCCAGTCTTATCGCTGTTTATATTATTTATTGTAGGTCATATTTATGGAGCGGAAATCCCGACATAATTGTTACTTGACGCAGTATCGCGTCCTTTAATACATGTATCCTCTGGTTTGAATATCGTAAATTAAAAGAGTTAGAACTGTACCGTGAATTCAGCTCTATACAGTTAGTGCGTAAACAAGCACAGTCAGGCGCGAAATGAGTTAGCTAAGAAAAGAAACTATTCGTGAGTTTCGCGTCAATACATAGGGTCAATATATAGGGTCAGTAAAAAGGGCTAAATTCTGGTGGAATAAATACACTAACAGACCAGAAACATGATCTGTAGGCTACTGGCATAGGTTTATTTGTTTGAGGGTTTTCTTTTTATGGGTGGGGTAGAAAATAGGGTTTAATGTACACTAATCACTGAATAGGTCAGTTCGGGTACATATAGTACAGTTAGCTTGCCTGGGGTGTTTTTTAGAATAAGGTTTAAGTGGGTGGGGTGGGGGATTAGATATACTTGGACAGTTCCTGGAATCCCCCAAAAGACAATATTGGTGTCAGTCATTATGACATATTATGTGATAGAACTGGTTACGTTCTATATATAATTTTAACTCAGAGATGATTGCTACGATAGATGCGTTATGAAGCTTTCAAGAAAGGGAAGTGACGAACGCAAAAGGAAAACACGAGTTATCCTTCTATATAACTAACTGAAGTGACAAGTGATAACAGATACAAGGGCCAATTTCTGCTCACTAATAATTCCTTCGAAAACCAAAAGTTGTTATAAGAGATTGTGGGAGGATATCTGACAATTCAAAAAAATAATTGACTGTCACTAGATACGGGAAAAATAGAAAAAGTCCATGCATTACCGTATTTTTATTGAGAATAGAATGAATAAAAACAAGGAAATGTACGGACTATTTCTATTTTTCTCGTTTTTCCTTATCTAGTGACATTCAATTAATTTTGAATTATCAGGATATCCTCTCACAGCCTCACAATATTCTATTTAATTGGACCAATCGGTGCACGAAATGACTGGACGATAGTACCCTACTTTCAGCAATTGATGGTGGCAGAAAATGTCTGTGACTTAGTTTAAGAAACTTGAATCTTGTAAAATACCTACTTAGCCTATTTGTGGTTGTCACCCATTTGTTTAACCACTTCAATATATTCAACAGAGCACCTTTCATAGAACTAAAATAACCCCTATAGTATTACAAGTTGCCATACTGAGCGAGGCCAATTGACCCTTACATTTGAGTGATGAAGGGTTGGGTGGGGTAGAACAATATATAACAAAATTAAAATATTTTATTAATATATGATACAAACAATTAATATGAACAATTAGATCTAGATAAATTACATACCAATGTAATCCGGGTGAGGGTGCTTTATTTAAGATTGATAGAAAGAGCTGACTATTCTTGCTACAATGGTTCAAAATGCATTTTTAAAAAATGAGTTACGAGTGTTTGAAGTTTTTAATAGATAGTCTCGATTGTCAAGTTGCTACCATAACAAACAAAGTCTAGATTATCCATTTAAAGTAAAAGGATGAATTATCAAATGGCGCGATTGTTCTAATTCATTCAATATCACGGCCTTCTGATGAACTAGAGAGTTAGCATGTGAATAAAGGCTTAATAACATTTAAAACTAGATAAACATCTCCAATAGTCAGATGTAGAACTTGTATATTGCTTATTAATTTTACTACGTCCACACCACGAGAAGTGGTTTTAAATGTTCTAGACAGACTAAGTATATCCTACCTTGTACACGACACTTATAGTTATGTACATTGTTCCCCCTGGCCATTGACACACAAGTGTTGAACCAAGCGCAAAAAATTAGGCCACACAGAACAAATAATTCAAGATCTCAGATATCGCCGTATCACAACAAAAACAAAAAGAGTTGTAAATATATTGTCCACGTATTGTTGCCACAAAATGAAATATGCATACCACGTGATGTGTGCGCTCACTAATTACTAAAATTTAGAGGGAACATGTCGATAATATATACCTTACAAAAATTATGTTTGTTGACATTCTGTAGTTGATCCTATTATTGTTTATGAATGTAGGCTAATGTTTATTATATAACTATAACTGTTATTGTTTATTATATGTCTTCACTGTCGTTCTACATCAGTTATATTAACAGTAGTTTGTACAGTAAATATCTTGTCATCATCTATAAAACTATTGTTTATATCTTGTAGTTTATCCCAGTCTATAGATATTATATCAGCATATATATAATTACCAGGTATAAATGTATCTATACCTTGGTCAACTAGTGATTTACTCTCATCATTGATATTTAACAGTTTTACTGTATAAATAGCTTTAACAGCTTTATTAGTTTTATCTTCTACTTTCTTCGATTTAAGGCCAATATATAATCTTGATGATCTACCACGTCTAACCTGTACACACCATGGTAATCCTTGTATTATTACAACATCACTAAAGTAGTCCTTAAGTAGCTTCACTATCTGGTTCAAACTAAAACTACTGGTAAATGTTGTTGGTGTTTCTACTTCACCCAGTAGTCGTTTTAAACAGTCTACATCAACCTCAACCATAGAATAACATGGATGTCTGACTACAGGTTTCTGTAAATTTGTCGATATGTTGTAATCAGTTTTGGTTTGAACATCTGTTAATCCATGTTTATCTACAGCTGTAATTATAGATTTATGTTGTAATATACGATCAGCATATTCACACCATTCTTTCATTTTAGATGTCATCGTGTCATCATCTTCTACTAGGTTGGTTAGTTTACTGTTTTCATCTTCACCAATTTTATTGATGTCATCTTTAATTGTTCCTCCAATCTTCTTGACTTTTTCACAAATACTGTCTATTTGTTTCTGAACTTGATCACAAGCTGTCTTACATGAGTTGTTCGTGTCAGCTATTTTGGTCTTCAGAAAGTCAGAATGTTTCTGTAACTGTTTTATCTTCTTTTCTGATTCAGTTTTTAGTTTCATGACAATTTCTCTCATTTCCTGGTCTACTTCATCTAAATCTGCCAATATGTGGTCTTTATGATCGACCATAACACAAACAGAACAACATGGTTTACGACAATCTCGACAATAAACTTCTATTTCTTTCTTCTTGTGTTTTGTACAATACTGTTTATCATCATCATCGTCTTCTAGATAAAAGTTGTTGACAAATTGACTGGCACCACCTGATGGTACCGCTGTTTCTTGTCTACAAATAGGACAGTTAAACTTGTTGAAGCTACCGTGAGCCTTGATGTAGTCATCTATACATTGTTCACAAAACGTATGAGAACATGGCAGTAATTTGGGTTTGGTAAAGTTATTTAAACAAATAGAACAGGTATACTTAGACGCCATCTTAAAATCCCAAGTTGATTATAGGCTTGTCGTGTGAATAAATGTATGAATAATAATTTATATAACATTTGAAGCTAAAATAAAAACCTGTAATAGATAGATTTAGCTCTTAAATAATCTATTTTTAATAAATATGTTTTGGTGTTTTAATTTCAGAGATCCCCATTTGAAGATACCTCCCATTCACCCATCCAATCTTTCCGTGTTTGAAGATGTGGAGGAGATATCGGGCAACTTAATTATCCAATCAAATCACACAGAATTCCGGAATCTCTCATATTTTAAGAGTCTGAAATATATTTCTGGTCGGGAACCGAATGGGTGAGTAAAGTATTGAATATATTTTCATATAATAATGTGGATTCATTGAGGTTAACTGATCCCATTTCATACAAGGGGTTAACTGATCCCATTTCATATAATTGACAGAAATAATAAAAGGTTGTATACGTTGGCATGCATGTAAAGAACCCTTGACAGATTTCGAAATAAGAGTAGGTTGTAGCGCCGTTGTCCGAGCAAGATTTCCCTCAAAGCACACACTGCATAGTGCACGCCTGTCTTCATTAGCCGAGTTGGAGCAGAACATTAAACCCCATTTCATTTCTTTTTTTCAAACAGTGCCCTAGCTCTTAATATTATGATGACACATTTGGAATCGTTGGAATTGGTGAAGTTGAAGGCGATACGTCAAGATGGCATCCTGATAGCGGGCTTCCATTGCAAAGTGTCATTCCTCCACTGTTTTCCATGAGAAAGTGACTGTCTTCATTTAGAAAGTGACTGTTTTCATTTAGAAAGTGACTGTTTCATTTAGAAAGTGACTGTTTTCCATGAGAAATTGACTGTTGTCCATGAGAAAGTGACTGTTTGCCATGAGAAATGATCGTTTCCATAGGAAAAGGTGACTTTTTTCCTTGAGAATGTGACTGTTTTCCATGAGAATGTGACTGTTTTCAATATATAGCAAGCAGTGCCGGACTGGGTCCACCTGTCCACCTGTCCGTGACAGGTGGGCCTAAGCTCATAAAAAAGTAGGCCTAAGCCTATAAAGAAAAAAGAGAAAGGAAAAAATAAGAAAAGAGAAAGAAAAGAGAGGGGGAGGAAGGAAGGAGAAGACAGGACACTCTCCCTCCTTCTTTCCTAATGATAGTGCTCTTAGGTCATTCTGTTATCTAATTGTATCAGAAAATTAAACATTTGCCTTCTTCTGCTTTGGTCTGAAATGCTTGGAAAATGTGTTTGCGGTTGTCAATTTTCTAAATTTTCCTTGGGGGAGACCCCCCCCCCCCAGACGCTCGTGACGCCTTTGGCGCGTACTTGTGTGTGCCTTGGTCAATGACCTGACAGGCGTCCTGCACTGATAGCAAGTGACTTTTCAATAGCAGTGTTACTGTTTTTTTTTATAGCCAAGTGAAAGTCTTCCATTGCAGAGAGTGGCTGTCTTCCATTGACAAAGTGACTGTTGTCCATAACAAAGTGACAGTCTTTCATTAACAAAGTGACTTTTGTTCATAGCAAAATGACTGTTGTCCATTGACAGAGTGACTGTTGTCCATAACAAAATGGTATCATATATTCGAGAGAGATTGATGTTGTATATTTCAGGAAACGAATCAATGAGACAGTTGTAAGAATTTTACCATTCTAGATAACAACAATGTCGCCATCTGTCTAGCAGAGTGTCCAAGTATCATGTACCCAGATGAAAATAATATCTGTAGAAAATGTCATAAAAACTGTGCTGATGGGTGAGTAGCCATCTTCTTTGTAAGCGTAAAATACAGAGCCTTAAAGCATCTTAAAGTTTATAACGTCATTGATGGTGTTATATAGACTGTAGCTAATCCTTTAAGCCATGGGGGGATTTGCAGTGGCTCAGTGAGTAAGACATTATCTCGCTAACCTGGAGATCGCAGGTTCAATCCCTGTGTTGGCCGAGAAAGTTCATCTGGATTTTACAGCGTGGGTTTCCCCTTGTCTGTGGTGCACGACGGAGGGTCTGACATAGATAGCTGTCTAGTCGTCGGATGGGACGAAAAACCAAGGTCCTATGTAAGCATTAGGCAAAATTTTCCTCATAGCACACTGTATGGCGTAAGCCCGTCTTTATTAGCCCAGTCGGAGCAGAACAGTAGGACGTTAAACACTATTTTATCTGTCGAAAATAACATATATTGCAAATTGTTTTTTATTTAAAAAAAATTATATATATATATATATTTATATTTATAAAGGGTCTTAGAGTTACTTTTAACTAAATGTAAGACTTGGGTCCTAACCAAACTCTTAGCGATGTAACCATGGGAAATCCGGGGATTCCCTGAAGTTATTTATAGCTCAGTGTTGATGTCATGCAATCACTCTACTCACTGTAGGTTGACTGACGCCGAAATCGTCACCACTACACAGTTGCATTTTACCAGTAGCTAGGAAACAAAGCGTAATGGCGATCTTCATCTCAGCGTCGATTGAGAAATTTTGTTTAGTAGGACTCGTAAGTAGATGCCGAACTAAATCTGTCACAAAAAGAATCCCACCCATGTCCATTCGATATCTCCTTATCAACTCGTCATTGTTGTACTCCACTAAGAAATCTCTTCTTGTTTTAAACTCTCTTACTGTGTGAACCATCGTAAATTTTAAACGGATTTCTTCGATTATGAACAAACTACTTAACTTTGGTTATTATAAACTTACCTGTGTGTTTGTAATGAACTCCCGTTCGATAAAATCCATTGCACAACTATTTATCACAACGATGAGAACAAGTTCTCTCTTGAAAAATTTGAAAATTTACTTGTAATTTCGACCGAGTCGATGTCAACAATGTCTTCGTAACATATTGGTCGAATCCAATATACCTGTTGCGGGGGTTGGTTAACATTGAAAGATAGTTTGACATCGCGATCATTTTGATCGTATATGGGTTTGGGCGACGAAAAATATCAATTGAAGGCAATTACATAGGAGATTTATATGGAAACCATTGATCGCCAGTCTATCAAATTTTCTTCACAATTAAAATATCACTGATTGCACGGATACTCGTAAAAATAAAGTCATGTATAAACTATAAATATCCTATCTTCTTTATGTTATAAATAATTTAACAAGGATCATGAAGCTTACCTCCGAATTCTCTGAATGTATTTTTAATTTTATACGCATTCTTTCGATCGAATAATAACCGCTTCAGTAACATCTTTAAGCGTGTTGCGGCAGCCCTCAGCGTGTCTATTGGGTGCCCGGGTGAGTATATAATGCTACTAAGCCCGTATGACCCCGTAAGAAGCGGAACATTAATTCTCGATTCGACAGTTTTGACCGAAGTGTGATAAAGCCCGTAAAACGAATGTATAGGTGTTTGTGCGGCATGCGTGTTCAAAAGTAAATAATCCCATCCGAGTCGCTAATCAAATAATTAGAACAAAATATTTCAAAAAGTAAAGCTATAAAATTTGCAGAGATTTTACTAGAATGTAAAAGACGGTAACTAAATACAGGAATGCGGGTAGTTATGTGTGCAAACGCTCAAACTCAATGCCAATCGTCGTAGGTATCCAGACCACTCGGACCAAAGACTACTTGGATTAAGACCAGTCGGACCAAAACAAGACCAGTCGGACCAATTAAATTATATTATAAGGCTAGACAATATGCTATTTATTTATTATTAAATCACAATACAAAGAAGCAAATAATTCTTATACGGAATTCTTATATTTAGAGTTGTTTGGTTCAATTTTGTGTACGGAAAATAAATCAACGATTAGTTTTAAAATTAATTAATAATGGAGCCCAAAAAAAATATCAATCTAATTTTTCTTTCCTCTTGCAATGAGACTCGGTATGTCCAGACTTTTGACAGTTTCTACATATACGGGTATACTGTTCTTGTCTGATAGCCTAATTTTACTTTTTCCACATTCGCGGTATCCCCAGTGGTTTCATTCCGTTCTACCTCACTAACCCCTGGGTTACTATATATGGGGGGGGGGGAGACACGTTTTCAAGTTATCCGCCCTTGATGCGTTAATATAAACAGCACATAATAATACGAAGACCGAACGTTTATATGCCCCTTTTTAAACGTGACTACAAGTGTGGTTCTCGATATTTTGCGATTTGGAATACAATTATCAATTTATTCAAACAACACGTTATTATTAGTTCGAGTAGTCATATTAAAACACACACAATTAGCAATTTATTCAAATAACACTTTATTATTGGTTCGAGTAGTCATATTAAAATAAACACAATTATCAATTTATTAAAATAACACTTTATTATTGGTTCGAGTAATCATATTAAAACAAACGCAATTATCAATTTATTAAAACAACACTTTATTATTGGTCCGAGTCGTCTTTCTGTTGGGTCCGAATAGTCTTTTTGTATGGTCCGAGTAGTCTATTTGTTTGGGCTGAGTGGTCTATCAGTTGGTCCGACTGGTCTTCAACCGAGTGGTCTTTGGTCCGAGTGGTCATGGATTCTTGTCGTAATTGTACTTGAATTTCCTATCATGCTGTCACCCCTAATACGAAATGATATCTTCCGCAGAGTGACGTAACCATCTTCCATATTGGTATTTTTCTCTGGGAAAAGTTTGTGATATTTCAATTTTTCAAGAGAAAACTTGTTTTCATCGTTGTGATAATTAGTTGTGCAATGGATTTATCGAACGGGAGTTCATTACAAACACACAGGTAAGTTTATAATAACCAAAGTTAAGTAGTTTGTTCATAATCGAAGAAATCCGTTTAAAATTTACCAAGACTCAGACAGAAGGCAGCGTACACGGACGGCCATGTTAACCAAGATAAGAGTACTTTTAACAAGTTAGGAGTGCTACAGGAGGACTCCTAAATATGTGTCATAGTTAGGAGTAATTCTTAAAGTAAAATGTTTTATAAATAGGTCTTAGGAAAATCTACAAAGTTAGGAGTAATTTTTGACAGTTAAGAGTTGGTTCCAACTCTTAGAATTTTTATAAATACCGCCCCAGTTCCCTGATTATATTTATGTTACATTTCGGTTAATCCAGGTGTGAAAGGCTTCATTCGGGTTCACACTTATATTTATACGTTACTTAAATCTATGTGTTTCAGATGTACAGGAAATTCTGATATTGTGGGTCCAGGGGGATGTAACTCTTGTGAAGTCGGTTTTCGAAAGTCTCATTTTACAGAAACTATAAGATGTTTACCAACCGATACTAATTCCTGCCCCGACAGTCATCATCTAACTCCCGTTAAAATAGACAATAATAATCTACTAGGTGGAAAAAGGGTAAGATTGTGTTTCTGTCATTTAGGGATTGTGGTGTTAGAGGTATAATGTCCTAGGTTTTGGTCATTTAGGGACTGTGGTGTTAAAGGGATAATGTCCTAGGTTTTGGGAGCTCAGTGTGTGTAAGGTGTTGACTCGCTACATTGCAAGTTCCGTTTTCGATCCCTGTGTTGACCAAGAAAAATTATCAGGATTTTCTGGTCTGGGTCCCCAAAGTCATGCAGGATGCTACAATTCATAGTTGTTTGGATGGGAGTAAAAACCGAGGTTCCATGTACATATCGGCGTGCAGGTAAATTAGCATGCTCTAAGGTGTATACTTGTTTTCATTAGCCCAGTCGGTGCAGAACAGTAGGACATTAAACACTATTTTATCTGTCGAAAATAACATATATTGCAAATTGTTTTTTATTTAAAAAAAATTATATATATTCCAAATTGTTTTTTATATGCATAAATACTATATTCCAAATTATTAATTCTATTTTAGATGTGTGAACCTTGTCATCGACTGTGTCAGACATGTTACGGGGCCAGTAATATGAATTGTAATAAATGTAAATTTTTCGAGGCCGATTCGTGTGTAGATTTCTGTCCAACTATGACATTCGGTAATAAAGCGACACAGAAGTGTGAACCATGTTTTGACGAGTGTCGAAGTGGATGTCGAGGATCAGAAAGTACAGATTGCTTGGCATGTAAAAACTTCAAAATCTACATCGGTGAGGATGATAAGAGGGTAAGTGCTTGAATTTATCTTGTAGATGGTGGTAGAATTTATCTGGAAGGGTGCAGGTTGGGAAGATGGCGATGATATGATGGGGGGGGGGTAGATATTAGATTTTATTTGGGCGTGTGACGGTAGGGAAGATGGCGATAACCAAGATGTTAGTGGTAGAATTTATCTGGGAGGGTGCAGGTTGGGAAGATGGCGATGATACATTAGGGGTAAATGGTAGATTTTATTTGGGCGTGTGACGGTAGGGAAGATGGCGAGAATCAAGATGTTAGTGGTAGAATTTATTTGTAGGAGTAGGGAAGTTGGCAATGATACAATGATAGTAAGTTGTAGAATTTATACGGTACTATTCAACGTTTTGAAAGGGGTGAGAGTAGGGAAGTTGGCAGTGAGGGTAAGTGGTATTATTCAATGTTTTGAAAGGGTGAGGATAGGGAAGTTGGTAATGAGGGTAAGTGGTACTATTCAATGTTTTGAAAGGGTGAGGATAGGGAAGTTGTCAGTGAGGGTAAGTGGTACTATTCAATGTTTTGAAAGGGTGAGGATAGGGAAGTTGGTAATGAGGGTAAGTGGTACTATTCAACGTTTTGAAAGGGTGGGGGTAGGGAATGATAAAATGGGCAGTTGTTAAGCAAGTGGGAAACCTCTGTCTGGGACCCGATTTCATTCATCCTGGCCGTTTGAATTTAGTAAATATATTTTATAAATTTGTAGTTTAACTGCACGGATGAATGTCCACATCTACCATATTCAGTGTTGGATAACAACACAAATAGTGAAACAGCATCTAGAACAGTTTGTGCTGATAATACCCATCCAGAAGTCATCGCTTTATTATCACGTAACGCTGAGTAAGTACTGTATATGTATTTAGTGTTTGTGTCTTCCATATATCGAGGAGGGGTGGATGGCTGAATGGTTAGTGTGTGCTTGTTGTATCATAAGGTCTGGCATTGAGTCAACTGTTGTGGTTTCCATTCCCCGGTTGTACGTGACAAGGAGTAGGGTCGCCTGTCCAACCTCATATATTTTCTCTGGGTCTTTCTGTTTCCTCCCACTGTTAAAGACCCCTACTTGGAAAGGAATAATTGAAATTAAATTGAACCATATGTTAGTCCCGAAGTGACCTAGTTTGTGTTAGCTCCATTTCTCTCTTTCTCTAATATTGATAGAACTGCTCAATCTGACATTTCTTTTACAAGATGTTATTTTTCATTTTCATATTTGAACATTTCTAATAGGAATACTGAGCACAGTGGGTAAGACGCTGGAGGTCGCGGTTTCGCTCCTGGTGTTGGCTGAGAAAGTTCATTGAGATTTTCCGACATGGTTTCCCCTTGTCCATGGTTCAGGGCGGAGGGTCTGATAAGGATAGCTGTATAGTTTTTAAGATGGGACAAAAAACTGAGGCTCTGTGTACACATTGGCATTCATGTAAAAGTTCCCTTGGCATTTTGAATGCGATACAAGAGTAAGCCATAACACCGCTGTTTGGGCCAAGTGTCTCTTATAGCATACTGTATGGCGTATGCCCGTCTTCATTAGCCCAGTCAGAGCAGAACAGTTGTCCTCAAAAATAGAATATATACTGAGCGCCATGGAAAACGCATCTCTTAGTTTTTCGTATAACAAAATGATCCTGTAAACAGATCTTATTTATTTTGCTTCTTATTGTCAACAATATTCAAATGGGAAAACATCAATAACAACACATTTGTACACTTATGGATGTTTAATCTGTAATCAACGGTACAAAGTCAGAGGGGTCAAAACCAAAAGTAGGACACAGATGTCAGTAGCGCGTGTGTCCTCCATGGGCTCTTATGCACGCTGTGCAGCAACGGCGCATGGAATTAACCAATGTTTGAAAGAAGGCCTGGGGCAAATTGTTCCATTCTTGGACAAGAGCAGCTTCTAAAGCAGCAATGGTGTGCATCTGTGGCGTCCAATCTCATCCCAGACATGTTCTATCGGTGCCATGTCCGGAGACATGGCTGGCCAGTCCAAGACATTGATGTTGTTAGCAGCCAGGTAGTCCATACTAAAACGGGCGGTATGCGGACGCGCTTTATCCTTTTGGAAGTTGTGGGTGCGCTCGAAACATCGGGCCAACAATTGAATGCAAGACATCATCACGGTAGGCTACAGCATTAACGCGACCCCTGCAAATGTGTAGGGTGGTCCGTGCGATGAAATGTGAAGCCTCCCAAAACATTACACTTTCCCCACCCCATCGATTGGTTTTGAAGACGCAGCAGTCTGCAAGACGTTCCCCAAGACGTCTCCACACACGTTAACGGCCATCAGCGTGATAAAAGATGAAAGCGATTCTCATCACTGAAGAGCACACTTTGCCAGTCTACTCTTCTCCATGTCTGATGTCTTTGAGCCCATATCAAACGCCGCTGAAGGTTATGATCCCTGAGGATAGCTCCAGCATAAGGTCGTCGTGCACGGAGTCCTCCTTCTCTTAGACGACGTCTTATGGTGTTGGCACTTACTGGTACGTGTCTTCCGACGACTGCTGCACCTGTTCGAGTCGCTGGGTGGAATCTGTCACGCAGATGAGTGACCCGGATGTAGCGGTCTTGAGCCTGGGTTGTAACGCGTTGTGGACCAGGACGTTGACGGTCACGTGTTGATCCAGAAACTCGAACATGTTCCACCAACCTTACAATAGTGGACTGATGACAATTGAAGTGTCTGGCAATAGCATGTGTAGACATGCCAGCCCTGGACATTCCCATGGCTTCATTCCGTTGATTTTCAGTAAGTCTCGGCATCTCTAGTGCGTTTGGGAGCATTGTGTGAAACAATAGTTCATAGTATTGCATAATATTATACATACAGAACCACCTAGTAATAAAACATTTGGGAAAAAAAAGTGATGCGTTTTCCATGGCGCTCAGTATATTATATTATCTACAAAGATAATGTAGTTATAGGTCTGTTATAAATCCAATTGAATCCAAGCTGTGATATTATCTAGCTTCAGTATTTTCATTACTTAATATTAAAGGAGCTAAATTGCTAATATTTGGGACGTAGAAATTGACACAAATGAGATGCAACGCATATAATAATGTAATTTGAATGTATATAAATTTTTTTACATTCAATCGTTTCCGTTTTCAGTATAATTTCTAATCAGTTATGTTCGGCAAAATACGACAGAAGACTCAATCGAATAGCAATCTCTAGTGTCTGGTTATTCCAGACTAGGCCTACACCGTAGTATTTATTGCACATGCTCTCCAGATAAGAATATGGCGTAACCGTTTGACATGACTTGTCGAAAATGTCTAGCCTTGTTCTTCGAATCCCTTGTTACAAAATGTCACTGAAATGCATTATGGTACACGATGTGTTTTCAAATGGTAAAATGTTTATTTCGTCTTAAATATTGGATATCAGAAGCCCATCTTTTCCTGGTAAGATCACATCATCGATGTTGATTTAAATTGACAAATAATTTGTGTTTTCAATGTCGAATACTTTGGATGATATTGAGTTTAAGACTTAGCTACTTTAATGTTAAATAATCATATTATGTTAAGTACATATTGGTGTGGGACTAAGCTGTAAGAAAATTGATATTTTAATCACATATATATGTTAAGTACATATTGGTAAGGGGTTATTTAAGAAATTTGATACTTTACACTATAAACCTCAGAATGCCTCGTTCGGCATTTCTGTCCAAACGAGGCAAAAACGTGTCAAAATTTTTGCCCCGATTTTGCCTCGTAACGAGGTAAAAAAAATACCTCGTTTCTCTGGAGTTCCAAAACGTGTTTTTTTAAATTGCCCTGTTTTTGGAACGAGGTATTTTGTTCAGAACGAGGCTGGGTAAAATTGCCTCGTTTACTAAACGAGGTATTTTATCCAAGATAATTATTAGCGGTATTTGCTGTCAACAAATAGAGCCATACAAATAATGTTCGGACCATCATGTGACCAATTGCAGATCTACAAATTAGATTATTTATTTGGGACATGATATTGTTCATAGTTATGGCTTACTACACTGGAGTTCTATTGTGTATAATAAACGCTTCCCAAGCGAAACAAAACATAACAATGTCACGTGACAATATTACATACGGCGGATACAAGCGCTCTTTGATTACATGCTGTTTGGTTTGATTATTAAATAATACGGTAATCTGTATTTATGGGAAAAGGAGAATGAATTTCCCCAAATCCAAAACTAGATAACTGGAATATTTATTGAATGGAAAGTGAATATTTTATAAACAAAAATATTCGAATTTGCAGTTTTCTAGCTTAGGTGGATTTGTGATTTGAATCTAGAACTCAGTGTTTTATACATTTTATTATAAAATTGTAATAAATGTTTTACATGAATGAATAAAATCTACAATTTAAAAAAATACAATAACATTGTGATTTGACGCTCTACAAATCACTAAGAGTATAACAATTGCTTGTTGAAAAAGTGTTAATAATATGTTTTTTTCCAATGCAGCAAAACCTACTGGACTGTTGTACTTAACTTATTATTTTTTAAAAATATATTCAAAAAGAATGCGTCTTTTACAGATTTCAATATAACCACAAATGGTTGATAGTTTTAATGCTATACATTTTATTATAAAATTGTAATAAATGTTTTACATGAATGAATAAAATCTACAATTTAAAAAAATACAATAACATTGTGATTTGACGCTCTACAAATCACTAAAAGTATAACAATTGCTTGTTGAAAAGGCGTTACTAATATGTTTTTTTTCCCAATGAAGCAAAACCTACTTTGAAATATATTCAAAAAGAATGCGTCCTTTTCAGATTTCAATATAACCACAAATGGTTGATTGTTTTAATGCTTAGATAAGTATGGGCATATGCCATACAATGTGCTATGAGGGAAATTTTGCCCAGGCAGCGGAACTATGGCCTATTGTTATACATCTATCGACTTTCAACAGCCAAGGGACACACGGACCTTGGGGTTTTTTTTGTCCCATCTGAATAACTAGACATCTGTTTTTCTCAGGCCCTCCGTTTGAACTGCACCACTGACAAAGGGAAACCCCCGCTGGAAAATCCTGATGAACTTTCTCGGCCAATGCATTGATAGGAAATAGCATTGATCGAATATTAGTAATCTAGATAACGAATGGATACCAAAATAGTCTCATAGATTGGTCCTAGAAAGTATATATATTGTGTATTGTAATGTGGCAGACAAAGGAGGTTATAATATCATCGTATGGCCCCGTAGAATTACCCAAAACAACCATATTTTGCTTAAAACTGTTGTTTATCAATACCGGTATACTTATTGAGGTTTTTTCTATGTTGGGCTTTCTGTGATTATAAAGAAAAAAATCATTGAAATGTTCAAAGAAATATCATAGACCAAGAAAATTACACCATGGATTTAAAATAGAAGTCAATTAGGGGGAGAGAATTAAAAATTAGGCCTACTAGCTGACTCCTTTATTAGGGTTGTCTTTCTTGCTTTTATCTTCCATTTATTTACGTTTTTGTTGTCTCAGAGATGGACTATTATATAAAAAAAAAGTTGAAAATCGTAAAGTTTAGGAAATGTTAATCATATAATGATGAAAAAAAAAATAAGAGCATATGATAAGAAAAATGTGTTTGAAATTGAAGGCTCTATAATTAAGGCCGTGTTGAATTGATTCCTTGTTTCTCCTGCCACCACTCTGGCAATCATGTGCGGTAGTGCGGTAAACACAACACAAAGTGGGTTTCAAAACACAAAGTGGTCTGGCATAATACCTATATAGTCTGAGGGTTGTGTACCATTTTTAATAATATTATAAATAATCTAGTTATATTATTGGGTAGAATAAAAACACAGATAATATTTAATTAAATAAATTTAATAACAAACTAAAATTTGGTAACAAGTGGCTTCTTTGTTTAACTTTTTAAAAAATGAAATAACCATATTTTGATATAAATTTTCCGTATTCTTGTGTTAAAATACAATGGAAACATTCCAGTTATAATTTGATTCGCTTGTTGAGTTCTAGATGGTTTCGATAATATCATCGAACGTGAAAGTGCTGGGAATAACCACCAAAGTCGAGTCGAGATAAGTAAATTCGCGTACCGGTCGGCCTAATTTATTTATTGATGTTCAAGGAAATAATAGGGGTCCCGTTTGTTCGTTCGTTTGTTAAACTCCAGAAACGAGCGAACGGGGCCACTATTATTTCCTTGAACATCAATAAATTAGGCCGACCGGTACGCGAATTTACCTATGTCCCGGCATAGCTCACCATTTTGTAAGGCGTGCGTTATTTATTACACAAGATATGATTGGGTAATACTTGAATAATAATGACATGAGTTATAATTTTAGCCAATGAAAAAATTGATTATTCAGGTTCGCGGTTGAATATTAGCGATTGTCTTACAGTTTATAATATGCTTTCTCATTAGCCGAAATGACTGCTACACGCGCCATTTTGCGGAATTCATCCAATCATATACAGTGTAACTTATTCCATAGCATGCGGGCCCCTACATGTGTATTATCAACCGGATCCATTCACTTGATTTGATATTTGTTTATTCGGTGCAATGCCTATTTTCTGTCTTGTCCGCAGGTTTATCTTGTAGATTTTTGTTTTGCGTGTAGTGCGGCCCCCTGCACTTACTTATTTAGTTCGTAACGAGGAATAAACAACGAGAATTGACTTCTGATGTTTGGTAGAATTTTATTTAGATGTTATTAACGTAATTTTTTGAATATTTTCTTTTGTGTTAAAAACGTAAGCGCACGATTTTCGGGGTCCTCGACCTAAGCCCGCGGGCGAGGAGAAACAAGGAATCAATTCAACACGGCCTAAGGTATCAGTATGGAACGGATCGTAATCGTACGGTATTCACTTCTGTCAGACTGATATTCAGGAACGTAAAGTTATCAGTCTGGAACGGATCGTAATCGTGCGGTATTCACTAAGGTCATACTGATATTTAGGAACATAAAGAAGACCATTTTACTAACCGTCTCCATTTTAAGAAAGAGCAGATATAAATATATGATTATATCGACAGAATCTCCACACGAATCTTTAATTTAGTAGAAGAAGAGCAAGTTGATCATTGTCGCCATATTTGACCTATTTCTCTATTGGTTGTATATGCATTAAGGCGTGGATCTAACCAACCCGAGTAGCTCATTATTGAGCCGAGAGATTTATGAAATGAAATTGGGCTTTAATGACCCGCATTCCTTCACTATTCAGGCTAATGAACACGAGGCGTTCAAGCCAGCTCTTTATTCACAGAGCCGCCTGGCTCCCCTGAGAGACTTTCACTGACAACTAGTCATTGTCGAGACTAATGATTTTTATCGCCGCTGTTGATCAATATATATATTAAATAATAGCCCGAATTTAAGTATACCAAAAGTTAAAGAAATATAACCAGTTTTTGAGCCATTCAGATATGACTGCCAAAATTGTAATCAGCGCGCATGTTTTTTTAGGCTAAAGTCTAACCATAAAACTTAGTGTCCATACATAATAAATATTTTATTCCATTAATCAATTCCATTCCGCCATTGGTTTGTCTTAAACTCGTCATTTGTGTTCATGGGCATCAGGGTCGAGATGGCAACGTTATATGTTTTATTTTTCTAATTTACTATAAAATATCATTCGGTTTGCCTCACGGGTTAACGGCATATTAATAGCTTTATTCACTGAGATGGTTCCTTTACTTATAGTTTATTTTTCGAATTGCTTTTTGTATTTATTTAAATGGAAATATTTAGCACCTTCTTGTTAAACCGTTGAAAGATTTAAAGTTTGGATTAAGGTTAAGTGAGTGTGGGTCAAAGATGCCGCTGGCAGAGTGTGTATAGGGTGTTAAAGTTTAAAAGTTATTCCCTACAAGGTGGTTCTACGGTTCTTACCATAGAATTCAGCTGTGAAATAACACAGTTTCTTTCATTATGTGTACAACAATAAAACTAGTCTAAACCACGGTGCTGTGATGTATGCATCTAAATGTTTCGACGACCCACCAATCAGTAGTTGCATGATGATTAAATTTATCGGACATGGAATGTGAAAATGCTTTGGAACTTTCAACTGTAACACGTTGCAATAATTACTCAATATAAGCCAAAAGGATCCGCCTTGTTCATTTATAATCCGGCCCTGTCTTCAGTATTAAAATATAAAATTGAACACAAAGTATATTTAGTAATCCGTATTGTAGTAATGGCAATCACGGCTTGTGTTTTTTTGTTTTGTTTTTTGTTGTTTGTTTTTTTTGCAAAATATAAAATAATTACGATGTCGTTTAACACTCACAATAACATATTTGGTTACCGGCCATTCAGCCATTCAGGTCGTACATGTGTCAAGTATACAGTCATATATACAAACGCCTAACTATAGAAGCCTACCATTCTTAATTTCTACTTTTCGCCCTCCAAAACACGAAAGTCGAAAAGTAGCAGTTACGACCAAATGTGAGGCGACAGCAACGCTATACAAGCCAAAATCGACTCGAAAATAGGAAATCAAGAAATAATACACTGCGATAATAGCGCCCCTCGTTTTTTTTCCTAATTTCTTATTTTCGACTTGCATTTTGGCTTGTATACCGTCTTGTCGACTTTCGACTTAGTCATATTTTTGTATTTATTGATGTCAGTAAGATGTTACTATGGAGAACGTAAATTTCAGATTATACATTCCAGACTTCGTAATTGTAAAAGTGCTCTAAACTTCCATAGATTTTTAATGCATATTTCACATAACCCGACATGCAGTTGTGGTCATACGCAAGAAGACAGCAACCATTATTTTCTACACTGCCCAAATTATTCGTCTCAGCGTATCTCAACATTAAATACCCTCCCATTTAAATCCATAAATACAAAAGCGTTCCTATATGGCGATACCAACGAAAGTAACCTGTTCAACAAAGTGAGTTTTAGTAAAGTTCACAAGTATTTAAAACTAAACAAGCGCTTTGAATAGATAAGGTAATTGTCAGGCGACGATGATTGGTGTTAAATAGTGATGACGATGATGATGACCATGAAGATGATTTATTTATATATTTATTTATATACTAGAAGAATGCCCGGCTTCGCTCGGGGGTCATAACTCCGAAACCGGAAGTGGTAGACTAACGCCACCTGGCCTATGTTACTCCCCAGTCCGAGCTACCCTTATACCCCAAATTTCAGACTCGGAAATGACAACGTGAATGATGGATCAGTCGAACGACAGAGTGAATGACAGGAGTTTTCCAGTCGAATAATAAAGATAATGGCAACTCTGGTCATAGCATATCTGTTTATAATATATTTCATATAAATGTTTATACACGTATTTGAAAAATACATTTAGGTCTACGTGTAATGTTGAATGTATAAATTCGGAAATGTTTTGATCTCTTGAACTGTATTATTTAAAATACACGATTAACGTATTAAATTGTAAATAATGAATCAAGCCAAGACATGTATTAAATGTTTAAAATGTTTTATTGAATTGGAATAGAAACTGAAAACAGATTAACACCCCGTGTGAGATATTTCATTCAAATATTGTGAAAGGGTTGGTAATAAAATTAAAATTGTCATTGTGTCATTTTAATAACATTGAATCGTCCTATTCTGTTACGTAGTCGTCTCAACATATTGTTGTCATGGGTTACTTCTGCTAAACAACTCAATAGAAACGAGTAAAGTATTATAAAAGAAATTATGTCTAAAGAGTTCTTCATGACATGTATTGACTGTAAGACACAAAGCGTACAGGATCTAAGTGTGATGTTAAAGGTCAACACGCAAATATTGAAATTGGGTATATTCGTGGATTGACTTATAGAATGTTGTTAATATTTCCATTTAAATAAATACAAAAAGCAATTCGAAAAATAAACTATAAGTAAAGGAACCATCTCAGTGAATAAAGCTATTAATATGCCGTTAACCCGTGAGGCAAACCGAATGATGTTTTATAGTAAATTAGACGAATAAAACATATAACGTTGCCATCTCGACCCTGATGCCCATGAACACAAATGACGAGTTTAAGACAAACCAATGGCGGAATGGAATTGATTAATGGAATATAAATTTTATTATGTATTGACAATACTTTTCTGGTTAGATTTTAGCCTAAACACAACATGTGTGTTGGTGACAATTTTGGCAGTCATATCTGAATGACTCAAAAACTGTTTATATTTCTTTAACTTTTGGTATACCTAAATTCGGGCTATTATTTATGGTAGAAAGATATAATAAAATGACCTAAAGCTTTAAAACATATTTTTAAATATGTTGAGGCACCCTAAATTGAATTTGAAGCACCAGGGATAAATAAATAAAAATAGCTATAATGCATGATTTTATTGTAACTAGTGAACTGATAAATATTGTACAATTTATCTAAAGAGTACATTTATGAAAACGTGGTACTTTTCTGATATCTAGTTGAATTAACACTTACCCAGATCTTGGCATAAGCACGACTTAAAATGATCACGGCTAAAACAATTCCGTGCGAATCAAGAATTCTTTATGTAAGAATAGAGCTTTATGCACCACACATTATGTCTTCATAAGATGGTAGCTATAATCTTTCAATCCAATCCCCTAATTAAGTATACCCCCACCCAATCATAAAAAAATAATAACATAGCAAAACGGTGTTTAATTCTGATCATCTAAATTATCAAATGATATTCGCCGAAGTAGTAACAGAGAAGGGCGTGTTTTAAGATATACATAATGTATCTTACTATTTTTCGCTTATATAATTTGATTTTCAAATACAAACCATTAATACTTATCTTAGCATTAAAACAATCAACCATTTGTGGTTATATTGAAATCTGTAAAAGACGCATTCTTTTTGAATATATTTTTAAAAAATAATAAGTTAAGTACAACAGTCCAGTAGGTTTTGCTGCATTGGAAAAAAACATATTATTAACACTTTTTCAACAAGCAATTGTTATACTCTTAGTGATTTGTAGAGCATCAAATCACAATGTTATTGTACTGTTTTAAATTGTAGATTTTATTCATTCATGTAAAACATTTATTACAATTTTATAATAAAATGTATAAAACACTGAGTTCGAGATTCAAATCACAAATCCATCCAAGCTAGGATACTGCAAATCCGAATATTTTTGTTTATAAAATATTTACTTTCCATTCAATAAATATTCCAGTCATCTAGTTTTGGATTTGGGGAAATTCATTCTCCTTTTCCCATATATACAGATTGCCGTATTATTTAATAATCAAACCAAACAGCATGTAATCAAAGAACGCTTGTATCCGCCAGATGTAATATTGTCACGTGACATTGTTATGTTTTGTTTCGCTCGGGAAGCGTTTATTATACATAATAGAACTCCAGTGTAGTAAGCCATAACTATGAACAATATCATGTCCCAAATAAATAATCTAATTTGTAGATCTGCAATTGGTCACATGATGGTCCGAACATTATTTGTATGGCTCTATTTGTTGACAGCAAATACCGCTAATAATTATCTTGGATAAAATACCTCGTTTAGTAAACGAGGCAATTTTACCCAGCCTCGTTCTGAACAAAATACCTCGTTCCAAAAACAGGACAATTTAAAAAAAAACACGTTTGGAACTCCAGAGAAACGAGGTATTTTTTTTACCTCGTTACAACGAGGCAAAATCGGGGCAAAAATTTTGACACGTTTTTGCCTCGTTTGGACAGAAATGCCGAACGAGGCATTCTGAGGTTTATAGTGTTAGTGAGAAATACCAAGTTATCAATCTAGTTATTAGGTAATGTGTCTTTATAAAAAAAACATAGAAAATACTCAATTTGCATCCCCACCGACGATTTAAATTTTTGATGGTCTATTGTTTTAGTTGATTGTATTTTTTATTTTCTCTCTCAATAAAATAAATTGATATATTTTTTTTTAATGTAGAGATGAAAAGAAGAAAATGGCTATAATTGTTGCTCCATCTGTAGCCGGTGTACTGATTGTAGCTGTTTTGATCGCTTGTATAGCTTGGTGCTGTCAAAAACGAGCTAAAGCCAAGAAAAAAACGGCAAAACTTACGGCCAAGATGACTGGCTGGGATGAGGAAGTGGTGAGTATTTATTTGATGATGTACACCAATTGGCACGCACCTAAAAGAACCCTTGACAGTCGGAGTTCGAAATAAGAGTAGACCGTTATCCAGGAGGACTTTCCCTCATAGCACACTGCACACATGTCCATCTTCATTAGCCCAGGGCAGAAGAAAAGGACATTAAACTCCGTATCATTTCATTTATTTGATCATACTTAAAACATATGAATAACTGGATTATGTTAATGTTTTTTATACAGCCGCATTGTGGTCGTATATTGCCGTCGCCTCCATCTGTATGAGCGTTGCTTGGCAACCTATGTTTTATATATGAATTAAATTAAAAAAAGAAAAACAGTGATCATACATCCTTGTGTTATATAACTCTTTGTAGATTTAATCAAATGTGACCATTAGAATTAACACATAGCTGAAGGGGAATAACTCCATTTAATCAAATTATCTGTTCTCTAAACATTTGTCACTGTGTTGATTTTGAGAAATGAAATGGGGTTTAACATCCTACTTTTCTGAACCAACTGGGCTGATGAAAACGGTAGATAAACAATTTACTGTAGTAGTTACTGATTTTAAAAGAATTAAATTTTTGTAATAAATTCAAGTTTGTTTAGGGCCACTTCATATTTTTCTAACGTTTTTTATTCAGCCTCTTACACCTACGACAGCTAAACCTGACCTTGCTCAGTTAAAATTGATAAAGGAATACGATTTACGACGTGGAGGTATTATTGGCTCTGGAGCATTTGGTACTGTCTATAAAGTAAGTAATTATTCCTTTAACTGTCAGATTTTCCAGGAGGCCATTTTGCAGGTCATGACCTATAAGTAAAAATGACAAAAAATGTTAGATATTTTATACCACTGAATAAAGGAATTCAAGATCTTTCCAAAAAATATATACATTAACTGCGACAGTTGGAATTTGAAAAGGTGTAGATAAAAATTCCACTGTTTGGGCAAAATTCTACCCCTTCTATTGTATACATGACCATAAGAATTACAATTACTATATGTTAGTCTCAAAATAACCAAAAGTATTGTGTTGATGATACATTAACCATATGTTAGTCTCACAATAACCAAAGGTAGTGTGTTGATGAGACATTAACCATATGTTAGTCTCAAAATAACCAGAGGTATATAGTGTTGATGATACATTAACCATATGTTAGTCTCAAAATAACCAAAGTATTGTGATGACACGATGTCAAATTCCATTCTAGTCATGTAACAATTGCAAACATACTAGAGAAAATATATTTTATAATTATTTGTTTTTCGCTGCTTTTTTTTTCTAAGGATTTTGGATTCCAGAAGGTGAAAATGTTAAAATTCCTGTGGCTATAAAAGTTTTACAGGAAGGAACCTCACCCAATCAGAATAAAGAATTGTTGGAAGAGGCTCGTGTCATGTCGTCAGTAGAACATCAGTATTGTGTCAGGATATTGGCAGTCTGTATGAGGGCACAAATGATGTTAATAACGCAGCTCATGCCTCTCGGATGTCTTCTGGATTACGTGCGAAAAAACAAAGATCACATTGGATCGAAAGTTTTGTTGAATTGGTGTACACAAATTGCTAAGGTGAGTAGAATCGCAGTTTTATCCACAAAAACACTCTTTTAATTCCTGAAAAAACCCAACAATCCTTAAGATGCAACACTGACAAGGGGGAGTTAACAAGCTAGCACCTTACCCACTGAGCCACAGATAGGATTATGCAAGAGCTAAATCTGCCTATTGTGGGTCTTTGTTTAGGTCTGAAATGTTTTCTAAAGTATTAATTAGACATTAATTAACTGATCCAGGCCTTAATCAACTCTAGATGGTATCAGATTTCTCCAATATACACCAGGATCTAACTGCCTTGTGCATGATGCCTGTCTGTAGAAAGTCATATACACCAGGATCTAGCTGCCTAGTGCATGATGCCTGTCTGTAGAAAGTTATATACACCAGGATCTAGCTGCCTTGTGCATGATGTCTGTCTGTAGAAAGTTATATACACCAGGATCTAGCTGCCTAGTGCATGATACCTGTCTTTAGAAAGTGATGTACTTCAGCCTCCAGATATCTAAAGATAATTATTTAAACATCCTGATCTACAGAGAATTAAAGATGATCTGGAAATTGTAATCATGCTCTTACTGCCTGGTGCATGACAACTGTTAATACCTATACTCCTGATATCCCATTTTAAAAATAAACTTTAATTGTTTTTGTGGAAAGGTGTACAAAGTGATATACTCCCGGGACCGTGTTCACTAAAATATGTTAAGAATGCAGCTTTTTCATTGGTTAATAGCTTAAATTTGTACTAGGATTTAAAGCCTCAGCCAATGAAAACCTTTCATCCTTAAGATATTTTAGTTCACGATTTCATGAATAAGGTCCGAGATATCCCATTTTAAAAATTAACTTTTTGTTTTTGTAGAAAGAAATTGTTTTCTCGTTTTTAACCTCACATAATATAAAATGCTATCAGGTTTGGTGGAATTGTTAATAAGATAAAATTCTGTATAATTGTAAATACTTGTAATAAAGAGCATATTAATTGTCCCCCGCCTTTCGAAGAAAGCAGGGGACTATTAAAATGGGTTCGTCCGTCCGTCCGTCCGTCCGTCCGTCCGTCCGTCACACTTTTTGGGACACAATAACTCTCTTCCTAATTGAGCTAGAATGTTCAAACTTGGTGTATGTGTTTATTAGGTCAATGCCTTGATGAAGTTCGAAGATGAGCATTTTCCGCTTAGGGTAAGCAGAGATAAGCAATTTGATTGGTTGATGCTTTGGGACACGATAACTCTCTTCCTAATTGGGCTAGAATGTTCAAACTTGGTGTATGTGTTGATTAGGTCAATGCCTTGATGGAGTTCGAAGATGAGCATTTTCCGCTTAGGGTAAGCAGAGATAAGCAATTTGATTGGTTGATGCTTTGGGACACGATAACTTTTAATTGAGCTAGAATGTTCAAACTTGGTGTATGTGTTTATTAGGTCAATGCCTTGATGGAGTTCGAAGATGAGCATTTTCCGCTTAGGGTAAGCAGAGATAAGCAATTTGATTGGTTGATACTTTGGGGCACGATAACTCTCTTCCTAATTGAGCTAGAATGTTCAAACTTGGTGTATGTGTTGATTAGGTAAATGCCTTGATGGAGTTCGAAGATGAGCATTTTCCGCTTAGGGTAAGCAGAGATAAGCAATTTGATTGGTTGATGTATATGTGTCCTCTAATTATTTTCCTATTTCGGCGGGGGACATCAGCCTCACTGTTGGCTTGTTCAATATATCATAGATCTAATATCAGTAATAATCCAAATACGACACATAGCAAATATTTTAATTTATTAAAAAACGAATTCCATATCATTTTTTTTTCTTTTTCATTTTTTTTTTGTTTAGTAGCTTAGAGTTTCTAATCAAATCGTGGAAAGATGTTGTTTTAAAATCAATTGGTTCAAATAGATCATTAAAAGGTAAACAAAAGTAAACAAAAATCATAATTTCTTTTCTTAAACTATGTTAAGCCAATATTCTCTATATAATGAAATGAAATGGGGTTTAAAAGTTCTTATTTCCTGCAAAAACTGGGCTGATGAAGACAATCATACATCGTACAGTGTGCTATGAGGGGAATTTTACCTGGACAGTGGCACTACGACCTACGCTTTATTTCAATTTCTGACTGTTAATGGTTCTTTTAGCTTACTTGCTGCCCATCGTGTAAACGGGACCTAGGTCTTTCATCTGATCCCGAACGACTAGACATCGTTCGGTCTATATAAAGACAGTTGTAAATCCTGTTTTAGTTTACGTGCTGCCCATCGTGTAAACGGTACCTGGATCTTTCATCCCATCCCGAACGACTAGACACTGTTCTGTTGATATAAATACAATACAATTTTAAATCCTATTTTATTTGTATATTTACCAAAAGTTTTATAAATTTTATCAATCATATTGAAATTTTATAAACTGAAATTCCAAAACTTAGGTTTTTTTTTAAAAAAATTATTTTGAATTAATGTTTTATTTTCATGCAGTGATTTTAAAGTAGCCATTTTAAAGGGACACAATTGTCAGCCATGTTTTAGATAGTCTTGGATACCCAGAACAATCTGAATGATAGAGACTATGTATTACATTCATTTGCCTAAAATAAATGTTATTAATAAATTATGTTTTTAGGGGCCAGAATACAAATGTAAATTCGATAATTCTCAATTTTGTGAAAATTTTGGACCTTATTCACAAAAACTAAATTATTTGAGGGATGCAACAATTTCATTGGTTGAGATTTGAAATCATAGTACAAATTTGATCTTTTCGCCAATAAAAAAGCCACCATTCTTGAAATATTTTAGTTTAAATTTTTGTGAATAAGACCCTTGATGTTAATTACGTAATATGTTGAATAAAATCTCTTTTTCAACCTACATGAAAGCCAACCTAAAATTTAAAAATTTATAAAAATAAGTAATTCAGCTGGACACCATGATCATATGATAACTGAGGTATCCAGGCTGGATAATCGTGACTTAGTCTTGATTGTCAAGTACTGCTGCTACGGTATTAAATTCTCAATGCTTCAACTTCAAGTAGTCATAACTTTGCTCAGAATAAAGTAATTTGAATGATATTTTCTATATTATCTATTTATCAACTGGTATATCAAGAAAGTCCAGGTTTTTTTTTATCTAAATCTTACATAATACATCTTTAAGAAGAAATCAACAACATAACCATTTTTATCCAAATTTTAAATATATTTTTAGCTTTATATATATATTTATCCACAGAGTCTGTAAGATATTTATCATTTGAACCTTGAATTAGGACAAAATGGGTCTAAAAGCACACATCAAAGTAATATGAATGTATATATACAATGATTTCAAAATTAGTCAGAAACCATAGAGTAGAGTACACGACTCATGTACCTAATTTAAAATGTTCATTATGTATTAAATATTGGATATTATAATTAAGATCCCATATTTCTTATGGCAAGATAACAATATCAATAGTGATTGAAATGGACCAATATTGAATTCTACTTCATGTTTTTAATTTCGAATATTATAAAAAAAATAGTTAGAGGTTAAGCTCCTTTAATATATTTGAATGAAAAGTAAAATATATATATAGATATACCCGGAAGCTATATCACGTGATTTAGACAGATTAATTATCATACTAAACTTACGCTGTCTGTCTATAAATAGCTAGGTTTGATAACAGACAGGAAGTAGAGTAGATAGTTCTCTGGGTGCTGAATGAATAATTATAACCTGTTACTTCCTGTGATGTATTTGATTTCAGTAAGTTGTTAGTTCTTGTATAACCTGTTATATACACAGCTGTTGTTATATTATATAACCAACTACCTGATATATCGTGTGAGTTAATATGATGATCATGTCAGATGTATAATATACAAATTAATAATAAAAATATTTCTTTCAAACACTAGAAACTCACAGTTCTTATTTTGTTGTATCCAGCTGTTATGTTTTTTATACCCTCTTATCGTGGAGTATGTAACAGAATACATTGAAAAGAAAACGGGGCCTAACAGTACACTGATCCATGTGGTACTCCAGCTTTTGTATTTGTAATTTTCATTATTAATATAAAAAGAACCAGTTTTACTTGATTTTTGGACCAGGGACTGGTCATCTTTTTCTTGTTGTGGCGGTGGGGGGGGGGTAAGTATTACAGGTGTCAGGTTATTATAATAACAATAGGGTTTTCTGTATGTGAGTCGCCGACAGGCCGCAATACTTATTCCTTATACCCAGAGGATGATCCCTATTGTTTTGGTACATGCCCGACCCCCAGGGTCAGAGCCACACCCATTTCTTGTATTTGTTTGTCGTCTACAGGCCGCATTTCATAACGTAGAGCCTCGCCCATTTTCTTTTTGTGTGTCGCCTACATGCCACAATTCTTAATCAATCGTCTTGAAAAATGTTTATATTTATTCCATATACCCTAAGGATGATCCATATTGTTTTTGGTGCATGCCCAACCCCCAGGGACAGAGCCACGCCCATTTCTTGCAGGACGAGTAGGGGTGGGGTAGTGTCTAGTCGCTCGTATCGTACCAAAAAAGGTATCATATACACATTGGCGTAGTTGCCATTTGAAATCCTAAATAGGAGCAGGCCTTAGGCCGCTGTCCGGGCAAAATTTTCTTCATAGCACACTGTATGACGCATCAGCCATGTCCTCAATTTGAAGGCATGTTCTTATTTAGGTCCTCTTTTAGAAGGTTAATTAATAATGCTGATGTTTGTCCAAGATAATGATCATCCACAAACGCACACACACACACACACACACACACACACTTACACACAAACTGGGTTATTTCGGGACTAACATATGGTTTAATTTTATGGTTAGCGCGTGCGCACTGTATCACAAGGTATGTCATTGTGTCAAAACAA